CGCTGCTTGCGTTTATAGCTGGCTGTTATTGACAGTATTAACATAAGGGCTTAATGTTAAAGCGCTGTCAGGCTGTTATTAACATTATTTAGAGATGCTGTCAAATTTTATAGTGCTTTACTGTGTTCTATTAACTCAGGCTATGTACTCAAAGATCTTAGTTCTAACAAAAATTAAAAATTGCAATGCTTTTAATTTAAAATTAAATTATTAAATGAAGAAAACATTTCATTTACATTGAGCAGGTTAGTAGAAATAATATTGCATAACCCACCTCAAGCAAACAAGAATTGATATTTGAATTTTCTATTGAATAGAAAAAAAATGTATAATCTTGCTTAGCAACTTCAATATATATGTATATTGCTGATAGAAAAAATTACAGAGATTACAATATATATATATATATATACGTGTATATTCCAATCAATCAATCTACTGCAACTATCATCATCTATAATCAATTGTAATTGACTATAAACAAGGCTCCTTAAATAATATGACGTGAGATGTAACGCGCTTACACAAAAGATGTTTACGATGCCATAAAGTATATAGACCGCAGGAATTTAAATATATGGAAGGTTTTGCAGTATTGTATATATAAATATTTATATATATGAAAGGTTTTTGTTGTTTTTTTTTAAATATTATGTTAAAAAGATGTAAAATTTTTTAAATATGGAATATATATGTATATGTAAATGTATTTACATTTTATATATATCTCGTATATCTGCGCGTCATCAAATATTAAATAATAATAATTAAATATTTTTTATGGAATACTTAATAAATACACATATATTTTTATAATGTTCTAAATCTATATTTGTTATAAAATATATACAACATTCTTCTATATAAATTGCGGCAGCCATAAAACGAGAACTAATTCTGAAAAAGTATATAAGCTGTCGATAAGCATTCGTTCTTCAAGCAGAACTCAATGAAAATGGGAGTTCAGAGCATATTGTTGTTGAGCAACTGTATGTAACAGGCAGACTATGGTGCATTGGAATTTCATATTCATGCTCCTAAAATGTCAAGCAAGATCGTATATCAAGTAGCGATTGTTATCTAGTAAGAACAAGTGCAGCAGCAAGAAGTTGAGAATGGTCAGGGTATTTGCTAGTCGAGTACTTTCAAGAAGAACAGCCTTACTTGATTCCTGCCCTCTTAAACTTTATTTTATTATTATTTTTTTACAGGTCATAAGGATGGCAAGCTGATTAAGCACAAGTGTAAATGCGAGCCAACGGCCTGTAAATGTGGCAAGAGGAAGCAGCAACAATACCACAGCATGTTGTTGTCGCAACTGCGACGACGAGGCGCTGATAACTTATCAAGTGTTATATTGTTCTAGTATAAACAAAAAAATAGAAAAAATAAAATAAAAACACTAATAAAAAAACTGAACTAACAGAAAGTCAAATTTAACATGGGCGTGTAAAGGAATATTTTGTGTGTATAAAAATATGCCGGCTTTAGCGACCACAAGCAAATATATATAGTATACAGGTATGGCATATATATATATATATATATATATATACATATACAATACATACATACGCTGGGTACATATTTAGATAACTTGAGTGCTTGCGAGATTACACTTAAGGCTATATTTAAATGGTTGTTATGGCTCCCGACCTCGCTTATCTATAGGGTGCACTGGAAACTTCGACCAAAAGAATATTAAAAAATATATGCACATATATACATAATATAGATAACTAACTTTGATTGCCTGGCCATATCTTAAAGAAGGCAGGGCCGCATTAGATTCGACGTAATCAATGCGCCCGATATGGCGCCATAAATTGTTGATTAGAATTTCAATTTGATTGTGAAGCAATACTCTACTATATACTACAAATCTCGACTACCTATTAATAACACTTACAAGTACCGTTAGCCACCGACAAACTAAATAAATATGGGCATATAGAACTTCACTCCTCAGCTGTACTTGAGATCTAGGCAAATAAATAACTATTTGAAGGGTCTTTTGATGGACTTTGTAATGCCGTTTCTTAAAAGGTTTCGCAACCTTGTAAATGTTTATTGATTTACTCATCGGAATAATACTCTGAGCACTACGTAAATTATTACATTTAGCAATAAACACTTATCATTAGAGAACTCGTGTTAAGTTTTTTAATAAATTAGTGAAAACAAAAAACGGAGAGGAGCGACTTGGGTCGTAATGATATAGTTATTTAAGGGGTAAATGCGTAAAACTTTATATAAAAATTCTATAAAAAGAATTGATGTAATAAGTATTTAAAATAAAAAAATATTAAGTTAATTAATTATTAAAAAAAAAAGTTAATAATTAAGGAATATATATATCTAAAACCAAATCTAATATTTTCAAATCTAAAAAAGTAATTTAGGTAATAAAAACATTAAACGAAATCTTTTAATCGTTAATAGAAAAGAAAAACATAAATAAATGAAAAACTAACCTAATGAATTCGTACAAATATTTAAGAAAATGTTTAAATCAAATAAAAAGAAAACATGTTAAAAAATTTTAAATCTCTAGATACAATTTATAAAAATATTAATATACATTCTTCATAATTTTATTTAAAATTAAAAAATTTTAAAATCTTTGTAAAAAATTTATAAAAATTTTAATAGGCATTTTTGTTTATTTTTTAATTTAATTTTATTTATTTATTTTTATATTAGAGTATGAGCAATACGCTCTTGTTTTTGCGGTAAAACTATATCAATAATCTTACAGCGAGGTCAGTTATAAATTATTTACTTTAGGGGTGTTGAAATAATGAAAAACTTGTAAGTTGTGAAGGTCGGTCAGTTACGTGAGAAATCTCACATATCAAGTCGTTAACGATTAGAGCATACATAAATGTATTTTTTTGCCTTAAATGGAATTTCAATTAAGAAATTCTATAAAAATTTGATAGTATTTGCTGTAACATTATCAATATAAAACTATCATCGCTTTATATGTAACCTGATATTCTCGGTAAAATGTTACAAATGTAGTGATGTAATGCACGTGCACATTCAAGTACTCTCAGGAATTCAGAATTATAAGGAATGTTTTCGTAGCTGCCTTTATCTTTTAGCCAGAAATGCTTACCGTAACGTGGCTTAAGCTTAAGCAACACGTCAATTTTTGTACAAATAAACAACAAATTGCGCATTGACCCAATATATATATATATATATATTAGACAATAAATAATAAAGGTGAGATCATACGAATTTACGATGTAGAACGTTTATGGAAAGCGCAACTCCTTATATATGATGTTTCATACACAATATAAACTTTTGATATTTCCGCTCCTTTCATATCTTTAATTTATATTTAGTTTTATGGTTTGGCTAACTATAAAGATTTCCCCTATCTCTGCTTCTTTTCGTATCTTTATTTAGTTTTATGTATGCAATTTTTTTTTAGGTAAATATTTGATTTAATATGTCTCAGTGCGACAGTTCTTGTGAATAAAATCCCCAAATTAAATGTATAAGACAAGGTTAATATTGATATAAGAAATAAATTTTTCTTTAAATTCTGAATTATAATTTATTTAAAAATTATTTTTAGTTCATAAATAAAAAATGTGAATGCTACAATTTTTTTAAATATTTTAAAACATTTCGTTTTAAGGTGGAGAACTTTCGGCTAGAGCCAATTGATAAATTCTGATTATAAATTTAAAATTAAAGCCTTGCAGTAAATATTTTTTTGTATATATAAAATCACCTTGAAGGCAAAAAGTTGTTTTCAAAACATTTTTGTTTTCCTTTGCAATTGTACTTTGGTATTTTTTATATGCCCGAATAAAAACGATGTGATAAACACTCCAATGAGTCTGGTCTAGAATTTAAATTCGTCTCAAGATAGAGCATTTCAAGTTGGGCAATAAAAAGAGTAATGAACTGGAGCGAGTTGGTAACTAGAATTTGCCATTTCTCTTGCTCAACTACGATTGCATTGCGACTTAGATTTAGTCATATTTAATTTACGCTTTATACTTTTGTTATCTAAATAGTCAATAAATTTGTGCAGAATATCTAATCTATTTATTTTTTAAGGCAAAGACTTTGACTCTATGATTTGATTGCCTTTTTCATAAACTTCCTGCTTCCCATTTTGTTTTTTTTTTTAAATTTAATTATTATTATTTTATATACTTTGATATATCGTTGAAAAAATATTTGAATATTTATATATACTTTGGGATTTGAATAAATAAAAATATAAAAATATTGTTAAAACAAAAAAATCAATTATTTAAGGTAAAATTAATAATTTGCTAAAAAATAAATTTAAAAACTTTATTATTTTTTTTGTTTTCACTTTACTTGTTTATTTTTATTATTTATAAATGATTTGATTACTTTTGTCTTTTATACTGTTTTTTTTTTTGTATAATTTTTTAATTTAATATTTCTGGCTGTTTTTAATTAAATTTAATTTATATTTATTTATAATAATTTTTTATTTAATTTTTATATTTATTTTTTGTTTATTGTTTTTTTTTTTTTAATTTCTTTTATTATAATTATGATTCATTTCTTCCTATTTGCATTAGGCATTTGGCAGCCAAAATATTTGCGCACCTTTAATCATCTATAAATTAAATTCCTAATAAATAATCATCCCCAGCTTGAGTCATAGGAACAAATTAAATAAATATCTTGAAAGATAGCTGACACATGTGTGAACCCAAAAAAAAAAAAAACCAAGAATAAAATATAATCTTCACATTATCTTGAGCATTTGCTCAGATAAGTCGACATTAAGCAATAGACACTATTAGCAAACAGGGCCAACTTGATAGGAAATGCGTTATAAACTCTATTGCTGCAACAGAGGCAGATCAATTTACCAATCGAGAGATTAATGCGCTCGGTCAATGGGGCCAGTTAGATAAGGCATTGAGTAAACCAGAACGAACTATGATAGGCTGATAGAAAATGTATTTTGCAATATGCATTGCTTCACTTACCCGCAGTAGCCAGGTGAGCACACTCTCGCGATAGGGCACAAATGTGCTGGGCGTGGCATTGCCGCCCACCTTGCGTGTATCCGCCAGCGCTGCAATGACTTTGCCCAGCGTTAAGAGACTTTTATTGATGCTAACTCCTTCACGTATCCTTTCGCCATTTGATCCCGAAACACTGATCCGTTCACTGCCCGCCAAGTCGACCAAACTGATTTTGCTGCGACGCGTTTGGCGCAGGGAGACAACGGTGCCGGAGTCTGTATCGGAGGACATGCCATCACTGCCGTCGCTGCTCAAATCTGTGAGATTTAACACAATATTGAAAATGGAATGGGAGCGAGAGCTTTTGTCATTCATGGCCGTTGAGGCGGTGGCACGCTGCGAATTGCCTACAGCAAGCCAGTTGCGCAAAGCCGAATAAGAGTCCACCGAATGTGCGCTAAGATCGACAACATATGGCCCAAAGATTGGATGCTCCCGCACCTTAAGCGCCTGTCGCTGCACGGGCGTCTCTGGCGTGGCGGCCATGGCTTGTTGTACGCTAAGCAGATCATGAATCTTCTCGTTATAAATCTCAAAGTAGCTGACCTCCACCTCCACCTGAAAGGGCACATATATTAGTAAAGTATAGATAAGATATTTAACTTCAGTAAGCAACCTGCAGCTGCTGCTTCACTGCATCGATTCGTCTGAACAACTCGTGGCAGAAACGTGGTATGATGCCCGCCTCCACGTGTGGTGCATTGCCATCGAGTGCCGCATCGTCCAGTCCCTCAATGCCCATCATGCTGTACGATTTTCCCGAACCCGTCTGCCCATAGGCAAACAGACAGGCATTGTAGCCCTCGAAGGCGGTATCAATCAAGGGTTGAGCTGTGCCCGCAAAGACAGCCAACTGATCGGCATAGTTCTTGCGTTCGGGATCACAAGAGTAGTAGACCTGATCGTAGCTAAAGAAATGGGATACGCCAGCCGAGGCATCTGCACTGCTGCCCGCATGAACACTGAGCTCGTTGTTTCCATGAACCTGGACCACATTTGTCACGCTTACGCGCTGGCATTCGGGTGCATTCAATGGGCGCACGCGCACGGCAACAATCATATTACTCTCCTCGGCAATGCTGTGAAATGACTCGGCCATGGCATCCTTATCTTTTGCCTTACTCGCTGACTTTTTGATGTTGCTATTGCTGCTGTGGCTGGGCGTCGTCTTGCGATACAGCGAGGATGGCGTATAGCATGCATTCAGAGACGTTGGCTTTGGTTTCGGCGTTGCAATTCCGCTGCTGAAGGCTGTATTTAACAGTTGGTCTGTGGCCGGCTTCTCGGCACTGCGTTTCGGCGTGCGTGTCAACACTTTGCGACGCAATCCAACTGCAACTGTTGCAGGGGTTTTGGTGGCACTGCCACTGGCACCGAAACTGCCACGCGCACGTGCTTGGAACTGATGTATGCGTTGCTGCACAGGCGTGCTTTTGTTGCTCATTTCACTTATTATATGTAACCACACGCAATAAGACAAATTATTTAAACAAATTAAATTATTGTTACGTTTCGAAAATAGCGCGCGTCGTCGCGTCGTTTGTTGTCAATTTTTTCATACTAGTGATGTGTGAGTATCGATAACAGGCTTCAGGGCTGACAAATACACAAGAAAACATGTGTGTTTTGCAAACAGACATCTGGCAACATCGGCAGTTATTTTTTAAACGCTAATCGAATACGGCTTTGATTACTGAGTACTAGTATCTGGTTATTTTATAATATTATTTCTATTAGTCAATTCAGCATTTAAATTAAATATTGATTTATTTTAATTTTGAGTTATTTTTATAAGTTAAATTGATAACTGATTTGACCGTACTTAAAAGAGAAATATCGGAATATGGTTTTTTGTTTAATAAAATGTATGCAATACAAATGCTTTAAGAATATAAGTGTGTACATTCGCCTCTCCATAACTTGAGTCATAGCTTACTTTCGGTTAATGTATACTTCATTTTATATAAGGTACAATCTGGAATGCGCATATTACTGTACTTATCACACGCATTTAATAAACACAGCTCTAATGGTCAGTAAAGTACTTTGACTTTTGAACTTTACAGTGTTGGCTGTCGTCATAGTGTTATCGATGCCAGGCATCATCGATACTTTTAAGTTTATTGTTGTTTTGCATTGCATTACTTACATGTCGCCGACGTAGACAAAATATTAAAGAATTTATTTGTGATTTTAATTGCCCTTTACCAAAAACAGAAAATAAAAGAAGTTATTAAACGCTCTTGCCTCTACCATAAGCCAAAGTTGTAAGTACTTCAATCTCGCAGAATTGCTTTATTCTTTGATAACAACTTCCTAGTTCCCAGCACACGCTCAGCCGCCGCTCACTCAGTCTAAAGACATATAAATAGGCGCGTTTCAAAAGCAGGTTTTGCATTTGTAGCAAAACAGTGCAAGCGCACGTGCAATAGGAAACCGTTCAATACGAAGTCAATCAATAATAATAAACAATCAAAGTGTACAACATGTCCCAACAACCTGTTGCATTTCTAACAAGACGCGAAACGTTCAGCGCTTGCCATCGGCTGCATAGGTAATAAATAATTCAATTACAATTGATCCAATTGACACTCCACTTTACATTGATTTCCTAATTCAATGTATTTCTCCCACTCATTCGCTCTCGCAGTCCTCAGTTGAGCGATGCTGAAAATTTGGCAATCTTTGGCAAGTGCAACAATTTTAATGGACATGGCCACAACTATACAGGTATGTATATATCTATAACTATATACCATAAATATATTTTAATTAAATGCATGATTAGATAACGATTAGCAGCAGCAAAATCAGTCCTTCTCATATGACACACAGATTTGTTCATGCATTAACCACAGGCATTGGAAATTCGAGGCGATACAATTGTGTTTATGCCATATAGCCAGACCTTGGCCGACAAGCTCGCTTATCAACCAATGTACAAGTTCAACATTCATTAAATATATGTATTTATAGCAAAAGGCAAAATGGCTATAAATTTAAATGATTGCATGTAGACATAAGGTAACTGTAGTAATGCAAATGCTATAAAGGCATAGAAGGAATGTAGGAATATTGTATTTATAGAGTTGTATAGTTGCTTAAAGGGATTGAGATTTATACAAGGACATATAGAGATAGTCTAATGTGCTTATGCTTTAAACATTATAAAGAAATTCTTATGCTCAAATTGAACACTTAACACATGCCATTCGTCTCAGTGTTTAATAAATAGTTAATTTAAACAATGAAAGGAAAAGCATAGATAGTTTATATGACTGTTCTCCTTAAAATTACTATTTATACAGTTTATATATACTACTATATACTATATACAGTTTGTATTAAGCGTCATTCAGTGAAGCTTCCTTATACTTCTGTATTTAGTTATTATATCTTTATCTTATAACTTCTAAACGTATTTTGAGACAAGTTTAAGCTATCGACAATGATTTGCTGCTATAAAGAATGTCCATGATAAGAATGCCTTAAAAAAAGGAAATTCACTTATATCTTTATATAGCTGTGTTAGTTTGTAATTATTTAAATTTAATGTGAAATATTACATAAATACCTATAATTTCTCTCTTCAATTATCCATAGTCGAACTAACCGTGCGTGGTCCCATCGATCAACGTACTGGCATGGTGCTTAATATAACAGAATTAAAGGATGCTATCGAAACGGTGATTATGAAACGTTTGGATCACAAGAATCTGGACAAGGATGTCGAGTACTTTGCCAAAATTGTAAATTTAAACATACATACATCACATATATACATGAAATATAAAATATATTCGTACTTACAGCCCAGCACAACAGAGAACTTAGCTGTCTATATTTGGGACAACATACGCACACATCTTAAGAAGCCGGAGCTTCTGTATGAGGTGAAGATTTATGAAACGCCAAAGAATATAGTTACCTATCGTGGTCCATATCAGTTGAATGGTCTATATAATGCAATGAATAAACGCACGCCACGCGACTCGTGTACCAATATCTCATCCGATTCGGATTAAATGTAAAGAAAACTTTCGAATTTCTCTCTCGTTTACTTTTGCCTTTGGACCAATGCTCAGTACAGCACACACAACTAAAATACTTACGCATTCTGTGAATTTTTTTCGCACATAAATAACAGATTTTTAGTTATTAACAAGCGAGTTATACGATTTACAAAGTATATATACTATATCTATATATATATACATAACATTATTTTATGCATTCAAATGGAATAACAAAAAAAAAAATATTGTAAAAAATAAATTTGTTGCTTTCTCTACAAATTTGTAATTTGTAAAAATGTCATTTTATTAGTTCAGTACATGTCTTTTTTTTATATATAATATATATATATATATTACAATTTAAGTAGTTTTCTAAATGGCAGCTAAAAAATTTGAATTAATTTCTCCCCGATATGCTAGATTTAATACGAATTGGTTCAAGTTTGTATAATTTATTTCATAAGTATTTTTGGTAGCTTTTTGGGTATACAAACATTTTATATTATTAATCGTTTAGGCATTATTTTTTTAACACTAATTTATATCACGTTGTCTAAGCTAAACGCTTCATAAAATTTCATTTGAAGAGTTTACAGAATATTGCAGTTAGAAGTTTTTGCAAAGTTTGAATTGCTTTTGAGATATTGCTTGGCTTTTTTTTTAATTTAGCTTGAATTCAACTTAAGCTATAATTAATTTAGAATTAGCATTCCAACTAATTAATGCACTTTTTTTTTCTAAATGTGAACACACATTAACTTTATTTGGCGGCAATATTCTATATCTATAGTATTATAATTTTGTAAACCATAGCTGATACAATGAAAATCTGAAGTCTTTTAAGCTCAGTTTGTTAGTTTCTATGTTCGTTACAGCATTTCTATAAGATTGTACCACTGTCATCAAGTCAGCCTAAGGAAACATTTCGAGCGATTTCGAGGCATGAACATTAACATTTCTGATCAATGGCAAAATTAATAGTTAAAAAACAAATTGTAAGCAAATTTTTATTTGTGCTTCAATAAAGAGAAAACGCGGCATTTGTAAGAAAGATTCGGTTTCGAGAGAGTGACAGGAGAGACTCAAGTCTCGAGCAATTACTGATAGGAATACCCGTTGAATTATAATATAAATATTAAATTTAATTATGTATATTTATAAATTTGACTTAATACTGTCAGATCCGCTAGTTATATTATTTTTATATATTAGTTGATATTAAAAACCAATTTTGTAAGTTCTCAGATAATATAAAGTAATATTAAGAACAAACAAACGAGTTAGGTACAAGGAAGAAGTATAATTTAGATTTGCAGAAGTACAACATTTTCGTCTGTGTAAATTTTAAAGACCGTTAAAACGGAAAGAGAAGAAGCCTTAAGAAAACCAATAGAACCATATTGACAACGATTCAGACTAGATGACAAATCAATATATCCAATGCAACTCAATACATCCAAATAATTTCTATGGAAATAATTAATAAAGTAATAATTATAAAACATATTAATATTGACCCTCTACTTGGTATAATAATGAAAATTAAAAGAAATATTAGAAATGTTTACCTTACAGAAAAGGACTTGAAACTGATACGATCAATAATTGAACCTATAAAGCCGTAGAGCTCGAATATTGCAGAAAAATTATATAAATAATTCCTACTCTAACAGGGTGCCAGCAGCGTTACAAAGACTGACCCAAAAGGGTTAAGTTCATCATTAATGTAAATATTCTCTGGACCAAAAATTGCATTATAGTAGAGGTAAGAGTGGTTTGTATTTTGACGATCAGATAAAGAACGCCCAAAGAAAGTTTTGAAAATTGAAGATTGGTACCTTGTCAATCTAAGCTTTTATAAATTTGCCTTAGGAATTATTTAGCTATGTTTATTTTTTTAATAAATACAAATTGTAAGCTAAGCAATATCTCAAAAAAATTTAATTATATACGATTTTTATAATTAAATTTCTGTAAATACTTAAAACATATGTTACGTCTTTCGTCGGACATGTGATCATCCCTAACATTTCTACAATGTTAGTTCTTAACATATGTTGAAATTGATCAGGACGTTAACATAAGATCATTCTTAACATATGTTAATATTTAACTCCATTAGCACTAACAGATGCTCAGCAGTAACAGCTGTTACATATGCATGTACCCAACATATGTTATTTTTTAACATAACATTAACATATGTTCAGCATTAATGCAGTTCGTACTTAACATGTTATTAACATATATTCATTTCTAATATCTGGTAATAATTAACAGAGCATATATGTTCAGCGTTAACATGTTCTAGAACTTAACATATGTTAATATTTAACACGACAACGTTAACAGATGTTCATCCCCAAAAGCTGTTAATATTTAACAGAACATGTACATATGTTCCGCGTTAACAGTTGATGCGACTTAACATATATTAATATTGAACATGCCATTAACATATGTTAATCCGTAACACATTTGGATGCTTAACAAACATTAGTTTGGTATTCTTCATCTGAAATCTGTAAACTCTTCGTTCTCCTCATTTATTTGTAATGTTTCTTATGATTCACGCTGGAATGATCTAAATAGAATGAAAACTCTTAGCGCAAAGCCTTTAGATCATTGTCGTACTCCTGTACGTATAGGCTGCAATAGATGTGCCAATCTTTCGAATCTGTGGGATCAGCAATTGTTGGTATATATGTATATATAGTAAATATATGTTTTGTTAAAGGCATTTTTTGAATTTACAATTGAGCCGAAAAATAAGAAAAGGAGACAAACTACGTGGTTAGTAGCGTGTTAGTAGTACGATATAGCAGGCAATTAGTGTTATATTTAGCTAGCTGTTGGGGAACAAGAGACTCTCGAACAAAGCTTATTCAGTATATTCATCATGTAAGGCAGTCAGATGTTCAGGTACCCATAAAAGGTGTCCAATTCAACTAATTTAGGAACATAAATTGCTTTTGTTTTCATTTTTCCTCTTTTACACTTGGAAGTCCCAGTCACAGTGAGTCACTTTTAACATATCACAGTCTGTGTGTATATATATGTGCGGGGAAAGGGAGGGGCGTGGTTAGAAAAACGAGTTTTGCTCGAGAGTTCCTGTTCGGCAACTGATCAGCGGTTTAACAAGCAGTTAGTCTAATGACTTTCAAAGTTCTCAATATGGGATATGTGTTTACATGTGTATACAGTACTCTATGTATATATATTTATCTATATATCATATACTAGTTGCTAGGCAATATAACTATTTCAAACATAGCTTAGGCAATATACTTTTTAGACAGCCTTAACCTCCAGTTTCCAAATCCAACAATAAATTAGCTACAATTGGACAACTAGTTTAAAAAAGGATGTGATGCGTTCTATGATCTATAAATACAAATTACAGTTATCAACTAGCTAAAGCTGCTTTGCAATTAATGTTAAGCTTAATTGTTACATTTTTTGGTTACATTTCGCGTTTCAGGTCTGTCATGGCATACGTTTTTTGGTATTTGTTTATTTGTTTTGTTATAGATCTTAGATCGTGTTGCGCAGTGTCTTACCTGGATTTCGGATCGATATAAAGGGTATACCAAACTCGAAGTCATTCTTTGGCCAATACTTGAGCAAAGGCTGACGCTGCGGCAGCTCCGATTCGACATAGAAATAGGCGAACAGCACCAACACAGTATAGGCAGCTATGAATATGAATATATGCCAAAAGCCGTGCAGATACGGAAAATTGATCGAGGACCAAGCCTCGCAGAACATTCTATCGTTGACCCAACAAAAGACGGCTACGGCCCACACAGTTGTTGCCCTCAAGCCGAGACGATAAACGCGCTGATCCCGAACTCTGCAGAGGAAAGACAAAGAAAGTTATTTGATTAATATTTGATATTTACGTTATGGAAGTTAAGATTAGCACGTAAACTTATCAAAATCGAAATCTATATATGAGATAAGAGGCAAATATTTAAAAATAATAGAAATAAATGTTTTTTTTTAATCTTATAATATAAATAAAAGTTTTTAAAGGCCTATATACGATCCTACATTTTTTTTATTTTATTAAACTTTTCAGAATTTATTTTCTATAAAATATGCATTTTTTATGCATCTGATATATATTTATATTTATTTATATATTTGTTTATTTTATGTAATTTAATTTTTTGATGTTTTCTATTATTTATTTAATTTTTTTTATTTATTCATAACATAAACCTTTCATCATATCTTTCTATTAATGCGCACAAAAAAAGATTAGAACAACTTTAATGACTAAATCCAACAAAGAGCTACCTAAGCTAGTTTAATAAACATTTATACAACTTTAAAAAAAGGTAATCTTATGTAGCTTAACTAAAATGCATTTGTAAATAAAATCATAAAAGTCTTAGGGATTCTGATTTTTAGTTATAAAGACTATATGAAGACTATATATCTTTATTAGCTGCTACCTGATAAATCACAATCTGAATCATTCCACTGTACGAGCTGGAATTCATAATCTTTATGGCTTTCCAAGTACACCTCGTTCTATGCCGATTCTTAATTATAATTGATTTGGAATGGAAACGTTTCGAGTGGTGCTTCAGAAGTCAAGCTCTAGCTTATTGATACAAAGAGGGAATTTCTTAAGTTTACAAATATTTTGAATAATCTTTCTCAAAAATGCAATCAATTTTACAAAAGCTTTGTGATTTGTGAGTCCAAACTATTTCCAAGGGAAGCTTCGAATGAACTTTGACTCGATCCATTATAAACGTCGTATGATGTATTGAAAGCAAGCACAAATAGATATAGATTAGACAATGGGTGTACTTGTTCCGAGCTGATAAAACTTTTGGGCTTTGTTAAACATGCATGAAATTGATAAGGATTGAACGGTATGTAAAAAAATGATAAATAAGTAAGCCGTAATCGGTCAACACGGTAGAAATGAGTCGGCTTATCAGCTAGCCAAGCAGGTATTTGGCAACTGGTTCTCTGGGGACATACGCACCGCTGTAGCTCACTGTAGAGCATTATCATGGTCGGCACGCCCATAAGCATCAGCACAAAGGCGTTCACAATGGGCTTCCACCAGCACAAAGCAGTCGCGACAATGGCCGATACCAGCATGAGCCAACTGAAGGCTTTCCTGTTAAGTAAACAAGCGTTAGTGTCTATCAAAAGGGAATTTTCTATACACATTTATCAAACGGGCTTACCGATCGTTCTTCACGAACTTTGGATAGTAGCGCTTGGGATAGAAGAGCGAGAAGCCGGCTATAAACACCCACAGTATGGCCAGTTCGTCGAGCAGCTGTCCCAACAGACTCAGCGTTGCGTGGAAATACATCGAGCTCAAACCCACAACAATCAGTAGCACCCACAGCAAATGTATTCCGGGTGTTACAAACTTTCCATATTCCTTAAACAGCATTATCAGCACAGGCGGCAGTAGAATAAACAGAAAGTTGCTGAACTGTTGTGAGAAAAGATAAAATTAAGAAATGCGTGTTTCAATAACTAAGAAAATTCAAATCCATCTGGCTGAGAGCTTAGATAGAAAATGATGTGAGAAAAATAGATTCGAATTTGTTACTTCATAATTTGCTACATATAATATATATAAAATATGAAATTAAAATATTATTTAATATAAGACATTAAGTTCATAAATGAATTCGTATTGAGAAACTATTAGAATAATAATAATATTAATGAATAATATATAAATGTTTTATTTCATTTAAATATAATTATTATTATCATCAATAAAGCCTTTTATAGGTTAGATTCACTGCCATCTTTGGGTTTCCTGTATCAACTCTTTCGTCTATCGGAGTATTTAATGGGGTTAAAATATAGAACATAATAGAGGAAATGTATTAAGATAAAGAGAGGTTGCTGTGACTATGCCAAAAACATAAAACACCTGGGCGCACTAACATTACATGGAAGGGCTACTTGGGCATGAAGGAAAATGCGGGTGACAAGCAGTCCCAGATAGATAGAGAGAGAAAAAGAGAGAGAGCGAAAAAGTTTTTCAGTCGGCAAACAACAGTCACACAGAGTGACGACTTGCCTGACGGTGCATAAAGCCTATTTACCAACTAATTATTATTAAATGAAGTCGGGAATGCTTCGTTTTACCTGTGTTAATCACAATAATTGAATAATTACAAAAGTATTTTTTAAACTCAAATAGAAGTTCTGTTAAATTTAAATATAAATTAACATTTTAAATATATTCGATTAACGATTTGCACAGATACAAACGTTCTGGGACAACAGAAATACTTTATTAATATTCATAGATGGCTCTCGCCAATGCGCAGCCAAAAAAAGAAAGGGGAATCATTAATTCAAGAAGCTTATCAGAATTTGTAGAAATTTGTAAATAGGTCGAACAATATGAACAGCTAGCAAATACTCTAACCATATTGAAAGTTAGTCTAATAATGTATAAAAGTGACATATATCTATATATATTTATATCTATATTTATTTTATATGTTCTTTGTGTGTCCTAGCTTAGAGCTCGATTGGTTTTTATAGACATATATAAATACTTATATTTGTATATATATATTTATATATATCTTCTTTATATGTATGTGCACGTGCATGTAAGTGTGTCAAATAGTTTGTCATGCAATTTGTTCCACACATTTAACAATTTACAAAACAAAGCCAAGCAAAGTTTGGTTTGTGTCGTTTGAACAAGTTTTCACCCGAAGCACGAGAACAAAGAATGACGAGAATAATTTGTCATGCAAAAACGTAATTAAAACATTTTAAATTATGTATAGGAAACAGAAGAAGAAAAACTTAAGACAATTTTGCATTTAAACAAGTTGAAAGATATTTCATAAAACTAAAGGCCATCGCGAACTGCCAGACTAGGCGAGGCAAGGTAATTTTTATATAATATATTTTTTATATCTTATATCAACACAGCCTGGCGTTGATATTATGACCATCAGATATGCTATATACTATATAGTATATGTGAACAGACCTCAAGCAGTTCATTAACTTATTGCACTTGGGCATAAGTCCAATTATATAAAGCTCTTTAAGTAAATTGCAGCAGGCAACAGGAAAAAATGTATCTATTAATTAGAATAATAAAAAAACAAGAGTTTTATCCATTACTGAAGGTTTGTTATTAGCATTAGTGCTGCATTATTAATTCATTAGACTTACTAACACTTAGCAAGGCAATAAAAATGATGATGATGACACTTAAAACATACGTTTGGATAATTACAAAAGTTCTATTTGCTTTAGTAGAGATAACGCTTTATGTTGTTTGAACTCAATGTCAATCTAGATATACCCTACATTATCTGAACGACTTCAAATATGTTGATATTGTGATATATTGTGTCGGAAATCAGTGCCCATCAATCAAATTGTATATATAAAATTCAATCTGATAAAATTTATCTGTAGGAAAACAGATGTTTTTTCTATATACAGAAAATAGACTTATATTTTATATATTTTATATTATTTATATTCATTAGATTATTTTAATAGTAAATAATTGGAATTATTTAATATTTTTATTTATTATGTTTATATTAAATAATAATTTCTCAATAATTCTTATCATACAACCGATCTCAGTGTATATAAAAAGCAATTAGTATAGACTAATCTAATTGAGTAAACATATTGATCTATCTGATTTTCTCAATTTAATCAGGTTATTCATTTCATATACTTTTTACATTCATTAGAAAGTCAAGTAATTTCTACACTATATCAAATTTCCCTCGTATCCGGAAAGTGGATTGGATTGGTGTCCTATTTATTTTTGTATATATATATTATAAAAAACTTTGTATACTGCCCAAAGTTTTGATTACGCTGACTTAAAACAAAAAAATTAAGTTAAACATTAGGTGATAGCAAAAACCAGGAAAATAAGTTAGAAATAATAATATGAGTACACGTGTACTTTGATTCTTGTTCATATAAAGGAATCACGCTGGAGCATTGTACGCATGAACTTTGAGTTTTAGCTTGTGATAAATAATTAGTTCAAGAAATTGAATACGAAACGGCGATAAGAAAAAGCAATAACAATATGTGCTGTAACTAATAGTACTTTGTCCCATTACTAATTCACGATCAACCTATTTAAAATAAGCTAAGATCATTTTACTCATTATGCATTTTTCGATTACTGCATTTGATGCATTTAATTAATGGAACAATGGGAAATTCGTCACAATTATTAATTTAAAATTATCAATTTCACACCATAATTTCACATTTTCGCACATCATTTCATTTAGGTTAGCTTTTGGCACTTGTGACAGCTGTGTGTGCAAATAACTGTAACTACTAGTGTTGTCAAGGGTTTGCTAAGAGCATCTCTGCTTTGTTTACATTCAGCGTGTGTCTGTATGAGATACTTACACACGCACACGAAAAGGTCAAGGCCTTACAGCAGACTAAGCGTGTGTTGGAGAACGTGTGGATGAGCATGTTTCTGCAAATGCAGTGCGAAATTATGAGTGCCACATAACGGGGCAGGCACACATGCATACATATATAGATATTTTATACATACGTACCGTGTTGACGAACTCTGCAATATTTGACGATATTAAATAATTGCCCTCGCACCAATCAACGGGCGAACTTCCGGGTCGAAACAAATAAATGGCATAAATGTCCATAACGCTGCCCGTGTCCATGTTGATTTCAATAAAAGTTAATAATATTAACTAAAACACTTGACTTTTGTGACGTTAATCGCTTCGTTTAGTTCAGTTTATTTCTTTTTTTTTCTAGTTGTATTTTGAAGGCACTTTAGTTATGTATTTTCGAATTTGAAGCAATTGTTTGCATAATAGCCCAGCAATTGCATAGATGCAGTTATTTTCGCGTGCCTTTGTTCATTTATTTTGGGGTTTCAGCGTCTTGCATGTTGTTCGCTTTATTTCATGTGTTGTTGCGTGCAACTTCTGTGCCCTTATATAAGTATTTTTGCTTCATTTGTATGTTGTCAAAGGATAACTGCATTGCATATCAACTATACGTTTTGTCATTGTGCGCTATTTTTGTTGAATTTGCAAATGTGCGTAGTTATTACAAAGTCGACGTAAAAATTCAATTCTTTTTGCAACTGCGCGGAGCTAACACGTCTTTCGCGTTGGCGTACGCTTTGTTTACTGTTAATGTTATGTTATGCTTGTACTCGAAATATCTGAAAACCATATGAGTAGCTATAGCAATGAGTATTTCGATATAAAATACTAAAAAAAAATTGTCTTTCTGAGTATTTAAATTGTTGATATTTTATTAAATTATCAACAAAAATAAGTTAATATATACAAAAATAAACTGATTCTCTTAAGTCTTTCCTAAAACAAAGAATTTCTTAATAAATTATTGATAAGTGTGTTAAGTGTTTACTATATCTGGATTTTACAAACAATGTGAGATACATTGAATATTTTTGCATATTATTTGTTTCCACAGAATTTAAAGGCCTTTTTTTTAATAATTTGCTGAAGCCAAAGTCAATTATGGTAGCAGCGCTTAACTTAACGGCTTAAAATACTAGAAAAAGTTCGATAATCGATTAAATATATATTATTTTTCAACACTGTCTTTTGGTTTCCTTCTTCTTTTACCGGCACGCGTTGCGTTGTTATTTAAATCTGTTTTGATTTTACATTCATTTTGAAGATGTTTCCACAAAGAAGCTCGGTGACATACCGCACACCCGCCTCCCACCAGCCGCCACCGGCCATGGAATTGGCGGACAATGTGGACTATCCCAATCTCAATGTGGCTGATATGAATGCACGCCTGGAGAACCTGTCACCTAGGCTGCACGACTGCTTCGACAGCATTGCTATGAATGAATTGCACCATTTTGCATTGGCCACAAATCATCGTGAGGGCGCCGAATGGTGGGGCATGCTTTTTGGCTACAACCAAACGGAGCACATGACCGTTGATAATGCGGACTTCAAGTTACAATGCGAAAATACTGTGAACATTCTACGTTATGCTGACCACAATATATTGCTCGTAGCGTTGGGTGATACGCGGTTACAGGTTTGGTCTACATACTCTACTGTGCGGAATCCAAAGGCTCCATACTGTCTATTCCTCATTGGCGAAGATGCCGCACACAAGGCGCCCATCAATCAGCTCTGCGTGTTTAAATCTCAGCCACAGCAAGCAGTAACCACCTGCCTGGATAATACTCTCAATGTGATTATCTAGTTATAGCTGTGTATCTTTTTTTTAAATATCTTGCATTCTTTTTGGCTTTTATGCCGCAGATCTGGGATATTTCTGGCGCCGATTTATGCAGCACGTATCGTGCACGTTCTGCCCATACCACAAAATTAACAGGAGTGGCCACTTCGGCAACAGCTGCTAACCAATTGGTAACCTGTGATCGTGGCGGTTGTGCACGTTTGTGGGATATACGCGCAACATCGCCCACCTCCTCATGTCTCTTTGATGATAAGACGCATATGCTTAGCTTCACATGTGCCGCTTGGGCTACGCCTAATGAGCTCCAAGGCGACAACTATGTTTATTTGGGCGACTATGATGGAAATGTTCATACGCTGGATGTGCGAGTGCCACGCAAGCTGCAGCAAACTGTATCCTATTTCGATAAGGGTCATGTCTCGCAGCTGCAAGTGAATGGGTAGGCGATAGTAGCAATAGTAGCTTTATTAGCATAAAAATTTAATGTTTTTTCTTACAGCACTCATCTGGCGGTGATGAGCAATTTGCCTGCTGGCGTCAAGATTGCCGAGGTGACAGATGCACATGATGTAATCTACACTAATGAGAATACGCACTCTCGTCTCACAGATTCCGTTTGGCGGGATGATCGCACGCTACTGACCATTGGACATGGTCGTAAATTAGCCACACATAAGATATAGGGAGACAAGATATACGCAGACTGAAGAATTTCCGACCTGAAAAGATAAAAATATAGAAAACTAAATATTAATATATATTTTTTTTAGTTCAGAAATTATTAATTTGATTCTAGTTACCCTTTATATAATTTCCCTGTATAAATATATATCTACAACTCAATGTTGTGTTAAACTAAGCAATAACCCAGTCAGTTGCTCATTTTATATATATATAATTTTTTTATATCTTTAAAAACTATGTATAGCTTGAACTATGGTAGCTTGATAAGCAAATAAATGAATAAAATAGTTCTAAACATAAATAGTTGTGAACAATATTTTAAATAAAATATATAGCTCTGTCCTTGTAGATCAAGGGACTACGAGTTGGGGAACAAGACTTAAGTGAACTCATTTATATATATTCCATATAACAAATATCAGGCATAACACTCGAATTCATAAGAATTACTTAGAACAATTTCAAACCTAATATTAAATTATTAATTTATAAAACGACGAACGCATATGTTAAAATAAAACAAGCATTATTTCAGTGAACTTAACTTTAAACATTTAATCATTATATTTAAATTATAATTGCGTCAATAATTTGTAATAATCAATTCAAGATTTTTGATTCATTTGTTTTCCTTTTGGCACACAACGTTTAACAAAAGACGCAAATGCAAAACTTACACTAAACAACATGTAAAATTAAACAACCGCAGTAAAAAAAAGGAATACTTTTTCAATAATTCTTATAAGTAGAGTGATGACTTCGGCAGCTTCGTTGCGGGATGATAAATGGGGGAAAAATGTTTCGATTAATTTTTCCAGAAAATTAAAACTTTTTCACATTCAGCACGCGTTTCTAATGCCGTCGCCGTTTGGTTGGCGGCTCAAGGAAATTGTTCTCTTCCTCCTCGATCTCCATTTGATCCAATTTCATCATTTGCTTCGCCTTGTGCAGCATCGTTGTATCCCTTAGCCAGGTGCTTTTGAGCACGGCATCGATTGAGGGTCGCTTCTCGGGATCCACAATGAGCATCTGTTTGATCAACAACTTGGCACGCTGCGAGATGCCTTGCCAGGCGGGATGGCGAAAACGGAAACTGCCCTTCTTGATCTGCTCGCCCGCCGGTGAGCCATACTCATCCGAAAAGGGTAAGGTTCCACTAAGACTGTAAATAAATACACCTTAAATATCTCTAGAAATTATATGACTATTTAAATATAGTTTCTCTACCATGTATAGAGTACCACGCCAAGACTCCAAATGTCCACTTTTTGAGTATAGGATGCACGTCCTCCTGTGATTAGCACCTCGGGCGCTACATAAAGAGGGGTGCCGCATAGCGTACGCATCACTGAATCCTTGTGCACAAATTTGCTTAATCCAAAATCGGATACTTTGAGTAAAGTATCCTCATCGCTGGATTCAAGCAGCACATTGTCCGGTTTCAGGTCGCGATGTGTGATGCCTGCAAGAATGGACATATTAGTTAATTGCAATAGAAAATATATAATTTATAACCTCTGTCATGTAGGTACTTGACGGCATGGCACATTTGATAGAAATACAATTTGGATGTATTCTCGTTGAGCAGCTTCTTGCTAATGATGCGATTAAGCAGATCGCCGCCGCGCATAAATTCCAGGACCATATAAACAGAGTCCGGTTTGTCGACAATATCGTGCATGCGCACCACGCACGGATGCGACAGATTTTTCATGATCTTTGCCTCATTGAGCACACGCTCCGGATCGTTAAGATTATTGTTCGGATGTGCGCTCACTTCCAGCATATTTTTCTTTACAATTTTCATGGCGAACTGCTCGCAGGTGCGACGATCATAGACGAGCCTCACCAATCCATAGGCACCTGAACCCAGTTTACGATTTATATAATAGGTGGCCGTGATTTCAGGAGGCAGGCCAATTGCTTCGTTCGGGCTAAGATCCTTGAAGACAAAAGCTAAAAACAAAACAAAGCAAAATATTGCAGGTGCATTGATTTCCATATTCGCCTCGCATTTCTGCAAACTCAACACGACCTACCTTTATAGGTGGGATGAGAAAGAGCGATGATGTCGTCGTTTTGTAAAATGCGCGTTTTGTTCGTCCCAATCTTTTCGCCATTCACAAATGTTCCGTTGCGTGAGAGATCCTTGAAAGAGGAGGGTTGCAAATTGAATCGAATTTAATGTAGTTCACAATATTTTTGGGTGCGCTCTTTGCCTACCTGTATGTAGACCGGATTTGTCAGCTCACAGTTGGCGCGCTTTATGACAAAATGCACCTTGGATATGCGCGATAGGATTTTCTCAGGCAAATCATTGAGCGTCAGTATTAAATCATTTAGTTCGCCACGTCCAGCCGAAAATTCGTCGTTGTTCAAGTCTGATAAGAACCAAGAAGAAGAAGAAGCAATAGAAGTAATTATATATGTAAAAAAAACGAAATGAACGACTAAGAGATACTCTGTGACCAGTTGGTAAGTAAAAGATTTTCGTTAAAGTATGCATATGAAATCAAACACCTTAAAAGATTAGACAAGAGCAAGAGAGGACAGACTATTAGACAAAGATCGACAGAGGAAATGCAGAGAGAGCGCGATATATATATATCTATAGAGAGAGAGAGAAAGAGTGAGAGTGTGGTAAGGAGACAGACAGACAGCCAGAGAGAAAGCTTGACAGAAGAAATACTATGAGATATAGACAGAAGAAATACTAATAGAAATAAAGGACATAGTCAAACACAGAGAGAGAGAGAGAAAGAGAGAGCGAGAAATACAGACGAAGAGAGGGATGCAGCGCGAATTGATCACTTATATTTTCTTTTATAAAACACACACACACTTAAATTAGAATTTACGCAAAAAAATGTAAGCCGGCACATGAATTCATGAGAATCGCGAAGGACGGCGCTCTGTATTCAAAACGTAACGTTTCGTTCATCAATCTAATAAGAGCAGCCAGTTCCAAGTAGAATCCCAACTTTTGACTACCAAACAAGTTTGAGCAGATAGATACCCTTTTGAACAAATAGTCTACTGGGTATACCACGAAAATTTTCAACTACAACGCGCTAAAAAATCAGTTGGACATACATACATTCACATAAATAATAAAAATAACATTAAATGTATCATATAACAGTTACCAACACTAAAGGACGAATGCGTATAGATTATTCTGTATGACTTGACGCTCGTACCAAGAGACTTGATTTTAATATTTTTGCCATAGAGCCGGCCCCAAACAATCTTTTCCATTGGCTGGCTCTCTACCTGCGTCCAAATGTTGGACGCTTGGCTCTGGGTGGCCTGTGTGCCTTGTGTGTCGCGAGCCATGTTGTTTGTTTCAATTCCGTCTTCTGTTGATATTCGCAGTAACTGTTTGTTTCCGTTTAAATTCGCTGCGCAATTATTAATGTGCAGTTATCCTACCTCACATACACACCAACATATATTTACATATATACACAGACACAGGCGGCGCAACTATTTATTTTAAATATATATATATAACCGCGCCGCTTTTGCAACAATGCTCTACATGTAGCCGATTGTTTACAATAATATATTGCAACGTTGCAATATAATTTCAAATTAATTTTCATACACAAAATACAATGCTACTGAGCTGCGCGCGACGTATATTCGCGAGAATGTCTGGATGTTGACTGTTTCGTTGCCGCCATTGAGGGCTGCATTACCAAACTCACATATAAGTGTTGCACAACAGTGTTAAACTATCAAGGATCTTCAGTTTAAGTATACATTAACTGTTATAGATAAGTATTAATAATATAACATATATTTTTGTTTGTGCGTTTTTTTTCAGTTAGTTTTTTAAATTAAGCCAAGCGCCCCAGACGGAAATAAACAGCTGTCATTTCATCATTTTGTATAGTTATTGATAGTTCACAGTAATTCATTGGTTTGAGCTAATTATTATATGGTCATGGAATTATTGTATAAAATAGATCCTTAAACAGATTTATTTGAATGAAGAGTACATACATAGTGACGAAAAATCCATTGATGAAAGCAACAACGATGATTTCTCGATATAAGATATCGAAAAAGATCACATCTCTATGTCGTCTTTTATCGCAGTTCTTTTATTTGGCGCGCAATGCTAGCAGCTGGCAGCAGTTGATAAAAACTAAAAAAATGGAAAAAATTTGCGCTGCTTTGGAGCCGCAATTTCCTTGCCGCGAATCGGCAATCACAACATTAGCTGAGCTGATTGGCGACTGCAATGAGGCTTATCCGCCAGCCATTTATATATACGGACACAGCGGCACGGGTAAAACCTCGTTGTCTAAAGCATTCCTACAACAATGTCAACAACAGCAAAAGGTGCGAATTGCTCAGCTGAATGCCATCGAATGCTATACAACAAAAATATTGCTGGAAAATGTGTTGGATGCCCTCTCACAGCAATCTACGAAGCAGCAATTGGATACGGAGTCATTGCGTGCGGATAATATGTTGGAATTTGTGCAACAGCTACGCCGCTGGCATGGAAGCACCGCTCGAGGATTTCTTATAGCGGTCGACAATGCGGAACGGCTGCGCGATATGGATGCGAATGTGTTGCCAGTGCTGTTGCGACTGCAGCAGTTAACAAGTCTCAACCTGTGCGTGTTGCTGCTCTCGCAGCTGCCCTTCGAAAAGTACTACAACAAGACGGGTCTAAGTGAGATCATCAGTTTGCATCTAGCACAGTACAACAAGGCGGAAACGTTGCGCATACTCAGCAGCGACTACGACCAAATGCAACGGCAAATGCTGCAACAATTGAAGGGAGATCAGCTGCAACTGGCAGAGCAGGCCTTGACTCCAGATTTCTATAGCAACTATTTGAATCTCTTTCTAAGCGTCTTCTATAAGGCTTGCCGCGATGTGCCCGAGCTGCAGTTGACGGCTCGCAAATGCTTTGCAATTTATTTGCAACCTGTGCTGGATGGGAGCGTGGAGTGCACAGATGTATCTCGTCTCTGGCGGCACATAGCTGGGCCGTTGCGTTCGGCTCTGACGCAGATCTACATGCGCATAGAGAAACCGCTGGGCGAGCCAGCTGTTGAGGATCAGAGCGTGCGCAAGCTGGCCCAATCGCTGGAGCTGCCATACTATGGTAAATTTTTGCTGATCGCTGCATTCCTCGCCAGCCACAACTCCGCCAAACAGGACAAGCGACTGTTTGTCAAGCATCATGGCAAGCAACGCAAGCGCATGCAAACGGTCAATGCCAGAGCCAAGGTAGTTTGTAGCTTATTTAATTAACTCAATTTGCCTCTCTAATGCCTGCTTTGTCTTTGTAGAATGTTGAGAAGATGTCCACGACTTTGGGCCCCAAATCGTTTAGCATTGATCGCCTGCTAGCTATTTTCTATGCCATACTGGATGAGAAGGTGGGCCTCACCTGTAATCTGCTCTCACAGATCTCCACGCTGGTGCATTTAAAGCTACTTAGTTTTGTCTCTGGCGAGCAAAATATTATGGATGGCTCCGCGAAGCTGCAGTGCACCGTCGGCCTGGAATTTGTCATGCACATTGGCAAAGTCGTGGGCTTCAACGTGCGTCAGTATCTATGCGACTTTATGTAACATTTCCTTTAGTTGTTGTTAATTATAGTATTTAATAGTCCCTAAATATGTTTAACAAATAGTCTGGTAAATCGCTAATGTGCACTGTCTCCGCCAGCTGTGTGTCCCGACTGCGCAACTGCAGCAATCCGTTGCTCAGCGTTTGTTGGTCATCAAGAAGCAGGGTGTAGGGCACGCCTAGACGATCAAATGTCTCCAGTTGTTTAGTTAGTTGTGCGCTATCCGTACTCAGCGCATATCCCTCAGTCTGCAGTCGTAGTCTCGCACGAAGCAGCACATCTGATACATGCGCGCATAAATCGTGCAGATCCTCAGAGCTGTGCTCAGTCTTTTGTATGCCCGCAACGGCGCATTGATAGGGTGCCAACACTCTGTTGAGGAGCAGCGAACGCGTCTCTCGACCATGGTCACAGCCGTCCAGCAGCAGTGCACAGCTTGCGGGTTCCAGCTCAATAACCGAGCGTATCACAGCAGGCGAGTGTGGAATACCAATACGTGCATCCGGTAGCTGAAAATCTTTATTCTCAGTTGGCAAGTGCACTAAGCTTAGCTGCTCCACAGTCACAGAGCCTGCTTGGCCAAAGGACGCGCGTATATCTATCGCCTGACTGTCAGCTGGTTTCTCTAAGTCGGGTTGCGGCACAATGGCGTAGCGACTGGGGTTCGAAGAGTAGCGCATCCACCAGATTTTGCTCTCGCGCTGCACATTGTAAAAGTGCTCTAATCCACGATGCGGCTCCACAAAGAAATCGGTGATTAAATGCGTGACGGGCTGTGCAGGCTGGAAAATTGTGTGGTGATTGTTATTTGTTTCACTGGTGTGCTGCTGCTTTAGCAATGTGGGACACTTGGCTTTGCTGGGATGAAGTTTCCGCAGTTGCTGAAAGTGCTGGCTGAAGAGTTGGGAATGCACGAATCCAAAACGCGACAGGCTAAGTGTTTCGGTGGAGGAGTGACTGTCTAAATTAACAGCCAAGTGGCGCATTTTGAGCCAATGCTGCTGCAGCTGCTGGGCATAGGCAGAGCCATGGCTCAAGAGCTTTATATTTGGAGTAGTTGCATCAGACGAGCAGCTAAAGAAGCCAGTGGCTTCTAGATGTTTAAGGCAGCGGATTAGGCGAGTAGTCATGGCAATTACTGTTCTAATGGTATATTGCCCGGTGGCGACACGTAGTAATCCTCGTCAGTGCGCTTGGCACAGCGCAGCAGCTCCTCTCGGCTATCACCGGCTGTCACTTGATCGTTGCGTAATTGCAGCTGCTGATGCTCCAGCACTGTATACAGCGGTCGCACGTTATCCGTATTGATGTCCGCAATTTTATCTGCAAATTGTATGCTGCTCTTGAGCGTTTCCAGCGCCTGATCACTGTCCAGATCCACCAAAGATAAACGTTCCAACAATTTAATTGTTTTAGTGTCTATTTCGACAGCGTTTTTACTGGTGTCAGGAAAAGCCGCTGGAACAGGTGTCTGTGGCACTTTAGTGGTATGACTCAAATGCGTAAAATCTAGTTTGTTATGCTTTGCAATTTGACTAGTTTGGATTGCAATTTTGCAATAAAAACGTGAATAAATTCTCAACATCGTTGTGCGATCTATTCGCTACACTGTAGTGTTGTATAACAATTAATATTTTAGTAAACGGAGTTGTCACCGTTGGCGTTTTTACGGCGAAGCTACAAATGTTTAAAAAAATTTGGCACATTAAAACTGTATAAGATCTAAAACTCATGTTTAGGGTTTAATTAATTAATAATCTTTTACAGCATATATGCTTATAGTTACTTTAATAAAATTCGCATTATTTTTCAAATTCCCTTGGCACTTACTACACTGTCAATTGCCTATCGTAGTAGCAGTGTTAAATCGAGTAATGATAAGCGATAGTTGATTATCGCAAAATCAACTCTGACCGGTTTGCTGCTTTTTAGCGCTATTTTGTGTTTATTTTCTTTAAGTATATAAAAATGCCGTATGCCAATCAACCATCCGTGCAAATAACCGAGTTGACGGACGACAATGTCAAATTTGTGCTTGAGGATACCGAATTGAGCGTTGCAAACAGTCTGCGACGAGTATTCATTGCCGAAACTCCGACCCTGGCCATCGACTGGGTGCAACTGGAGGCGAATTCTACAGTTCTATCAGATGAGTTCCTAGCCCATCGAATCGGTCTAATCCCACTAATATCCGACGATGTGGTGGAGCGTTTGCAGTACACGCGTGATTGTATCTGCCTTGACTTTTGTCCCGAATGCAGTGTCGAATTTACGCTCGACGTCAAGTGCAATGAGGAGCAAACACGACACGTGACAACCGCCGATTTAAAGTCGAGCAATGCGAAAGTGTTGCCCGTTACGTCGCGTAATCAAGGAGAGGAAGATAACGAATATGGAGAGAGCACCGATGAGATACTCATAATTAAGTTGCGCAAGGGTCAGGAGCTGAAGCTGCGTGCCTATGCGAAGAAGGGGTTTGGCAAGGAGCACGCCAAATGGAATCCTACAGCGGGCGTGTGTTTCGAATACGATCCAGATAATTCGATGCGACACACGCTCTACCCGAAGCCCGATGAGTGGCCAAAGAGCGAACATACCGAACTGGAGGATGATCAATACGAGGCGCCGTACAATTGGGAGGCCAAACCCAACAAGTTTTTCTTCAATGTGGAATCTTCGGGTGCATTGAAGCCCGAGAATATTGTCATCATGGGCGTTCAAGTACTGAAGAACAAGCTCTCCAATCTACAGACGCAGCTTAGTCACGAATCGCAAAACGATGCGCTTGCAGTTTAGAAACATCAAAAACATTTTGTATATTAAGTATATAATATAAAACAAACGTCTTAATCCTTGAACAAGCTGCTAATGTTGATGCCCTCTGGTTTCGCTTTGCTTGGCTTAGTCTGCTCTTGTTCCTGCTGTTGGTGTTTTTGATGGTCTGCCTCCTGGAAATCGCTGAGCAGTGTGCTCTTGTTGGGCTGCTCCAGTTGCAGTTGCTCTTCGACTGCTTCAGGCTGCGACTTTTGTCGCTGCTCTGCTAACAGATCAAGCGCTGTTTCATAAATGCGTTGATCATCCAAAGCGCCTTGCGACTTTAGCTGGTCATAAATCTGCAAAAACTGTTGACTCTGGGTGCGATGTTTTTGATCGAACAGCGAAATCGTCTCATGAGGCTTGTTTTGCTTGTGCAACTTGCTGCGTGATGGCGAACCTACACATTAGTCTCGAGAGTTATTAATGTATGTATTCACACTCACGCTCGTACCACATCCTCTGCATAGAAAATGTTGCGCACTGGCACATTTATTGCAGGCCTATCGAACCGGGGCTCCAATTTAGGCGGAAAAGCAGCGTAGATGTCATACCAAATGGGTTTATCCTCCGTTTTCATCGCGCCAGCGCGCAACAAGCCTTGTACCCTATACAAATATCAACGGATTTTATAGCAATTGACCAAGCACTGCTCGCACATACCTCGTAAAGATGGTTCCAACTTTTTCCAGTCTGCTTTGTGCCATAGTGCTGCTATTTTATTTAATAATAATTTGTTCCTAATATTACGACATGCGCAGCGGCAAAAAATACTCGATGCTTTCTTCTATTATAACTTGGTATATTCGAGATTTTAAGTGTGTGTGCTTTTTCTGTTAGCCATGTCTGGGCACACTATCGCTTGAGCACGGGCCACAGCCAGTGCAAGTGTTCCCCGAGTGCGTTTTTTAAAATTGTTATTTATGTGTGAAACAGGTGTAAAATATCCAATATTCGTTGTTCGCAACCTGCAATTGTTGTTGCTTGCCTAATTGCTGATTGGCAAAGATGTTGTTGTGCGCTGTCAACACACATAGCGAAAACTGTGCCATTGCCTGTGCGTGTACGTGTGCGTGTGCGTATGTGTGTATGTGAGAGTGCGCGTTTAGTTTACGTTGTTTTTTTTATGTTTTGGGGCTCTATCGGCATCTCGGGCAAAGTAATTGAAGTTAATTTAAAGAACGTTGGCTAAATTTCGTGTGCAATGAGTAATTATCAGTCGCATATACAGCAACTGCAGCTGCAACATCAGCTACAGCAGCAGAATCATCATCATCAACATCTTCACCATCATCAGCAGCACCAGCAGCAGCAGCAACTTCACCATCAGCATCTACCGTCACATTTACAGTTGACAGCGACGACGGCAGCGGTGCCCCACCAACAACAGCAGCAACAGCAACAGCAGCGTCATACGCCCACAGCCACCCCCCAATGTCAGTCGACGTCGGCTTCGTCCGCTGCCGCTGCTGGTTCAATTTTGGTAGCGCAACCGCCACAGCCACTGATAAGCAATTCGCTTGCCATAAGACAGGAGATACAGCGTTTCGAGAGCGTTCATCCATCGATTTATGCTATTTACGATTTAATCGATTTGCTGCCCATGCCGGACGCACAGATTGCCCAACAGATACGCGATCACGTCGTTTGCATTGAAGGTGAGTCTGCCAGTGTGAATGTGCGAGGGAGTACGAACGGTTTATTAACAACAACAGTGTTGCCAGAATTTCAAAGCTGAAAACAAGCCAAAATACTTATTAGCTTAGAGCTAAATGAATGAATGATATAACAAAGAAAATTTTAATATTATTTAATGCTAGTTAATGGTATTAAGCAATACTAGGTTTTAATTATTTATTCTTGACAAGTGATTTTGCTGTGGCCTATTGAATTTTTTAAAAGTTATCTAGCTTTTTAAAGGTTTCAATAGCCAAATATGCATTACTATGTTAATTAAATGTAGTGAAAGAAAGGGAATGAAGTGTTTTTGCTCTGTTTCCTCTCCCTCTCACTCTTTCTCTTTGCTCTGTTATTGTTATTGTGCATTGTGGTTTGCTTTCGTTGCCTACGCATGTGTGTGTAAGTGTGTGCTTTATGCTAATCTATGACCGAAAATCTAACCCCTTGCCAGTCCATTGAAGTGTTGCTCATTGTTGTAGTCTTTATTCCTGTCCCTAAAAATGAAAGAGCTTAGTTTTTGTTTAAAACAAGCTTTTTTGTATATACATATACATGTGTGCATGTGTGTGTGCAGCATGAAATTTGATGCTCCCAAATCTGCCGCTGCCGTTGCTGCTTCTTCTTCGTGGTAGTGAGACCAAAGCTAAAGCAAAAAAACCAAAAGCCGAAACCGTTCACAAAAAAAAAAGAGATGGAAAAGCAAGAGCGCCCAGGCCAGGAGTGACCGACGGGTGTATACCCTGTAAGTTTGTTTAATTAGGTCTCAACATTGATATAGGTTTTTCATTTCTTTTGTGTTTGTATATTTCAAATATTGGGGTTTTCCTTACTTTTAGTATAAAGTTCAGTATAAAATCAACAATACATATAGATGTACTTCTATATCCATATACATATTTTGACTAGTATGTGTGTCCCATATGCATATAATGTCAATATACCCTATGCTTATCCATTATCCACAAATGGGTAACGAAAAACGGAAAACCGGTTCTAAATGGTTTATTAGAAAATCTGTTGACAACAACAACAACAATACCAAAAATGTAAACAAAATCGTCAGTCGGCCTTTTCGGTTGTTGTTGTTGTTGGCCGCGTTGTTCGACATGATTTTTGTGCGCTTATCGGCAAACCAGATACTAAAAAAAGTAACCCCAAGCAACAGATACGTGTGGCAGCAGCAGCACCATCACCAGCAGCAACAACAATAAGAACAGTAATGAAAAAAAGACAGGAATAAGTTTTATATGTATATAAAGCACTCATAAATATGTTATAAACCGTTTTTTGCACGCGTCTTTCTTATTGGCATTGAAAACGCAGCCGAACGCAGCGCAGCGCAATTTGCTGGATGGCGATTTCGTGTTCCAATTGGCATTTAGCTAATCAAAAGTTTTTTTTTTTGGCATATAACGGGCGAGCACAGATAATAGGGTCAAATAACTGTATATAGAAAAGCGTTAAGAGCAGGAAGAGGGGCATGGGGATCGGGAAATGTCAGCAAAAAAAAAAAAAATAAAACTAATGCGATTTGCATTTGAGAAAGGTTAGAACGAATTGAACTTTTAATTGAAAGTCTCTATTTTTGGAACTAAAAATACGTGGAACTAAAGTTGAATACAGTCTGTGCTCGCTAAGTGGAAATCATTTGAATAGAGTGCTCTCTGTTTAGTAAGTAATAAACAAATTTATATTTCTTTACGATTTTCTTGAGTAAATATATATTTCAATAAGTTAATATAAGTACAATTTTTTAATAAAAAATTTAACTTAAAAAGGGCATACAATTTATATAAAATATGTAGCTCAAAATTGTATTATTTAAGTATAAAATGATGATATATATTCTATTTTTCTATTACTTCAAAGATATTTAGCTATCTTTTCTTATACAAACTCAACTTAAACAAAAACAATTCGGTAATTCCAATAGTTGAACAGCTTGAATCATGAATTAAGTGCAAATTTCAAAGCAGTTTTAATTAAAGAAAGAAAAACAAAGAAAAAACTGAGTATTTTTCTCTGACTTTGTTAGGGCTGCGCAGCAACAAGGAAAAAATCTAAACATTTCTTCACATCTTTAAAAATAGCAAATTACCAAAATATGCGTTGGTTTTTGTGTTTTCGCTTTGTTTTCGTGCTCAATTTAAAGGTTATTTGTTGTATTTACATTGAAATATCAGTCACTAAAATAGAATTTATTAGGTTCTACGACCTCCAAAAGCGAATGACAAAAGAAATCGATTCACATTATTTCAGATGATATCAGCATATGAATGGTGCCTTTATTGCACACACACACACGCACACACATACATAATGAATGTTAAGCTCTCTTCTATAGTTTACCTGAATTGTCTGTCTGTTTGTTGGTTTGTTTATGTTTGCCTATTAGCTTATAGTAAAAAGTCTGCCGAACCATAATAATAAAAACAAAATAAAGCAAACGCCCCAAGGCGGCAGCCAGAAACAAATTGCCCCCTCCCTCTCCCTCTCTCTCTCTTTCTCGCTCTTTCTTTTTCTCTTATCTGAATACACAGTGGCACCGCGATCACAAATGCTTTTGCAATTAGCCCACATCAACTGTTTGGCCTTACTCTAAGCTAAATAAAGGGTAACATGATTTTGTGATAGCAAGTAAATATTTGATATAAATAAATATTATACAAATTTTAAACTTTTTGGAATAAGAACTATATGTTATACATTTATATATTTAAATATTAGTATATATATATTATAAAACTGAAAATAAACTAAAAAAAAATTAGAATTAAAAAATTTTTTTTTTATGTTTTATACATTTTTGGCAGTATAATTTATATTTTTTAATATATATTTTTTTTACATATATATATTTCGTATATTTCTGTATATGTAAACTCGTCCCCTTATTTTCACACATATTCAAGTTCTAGTTGTTAAACTAGGGCTTAAGCAACTGTCATTTATAATCTACATGTTTTGCTAGTTTTACGTTTTTATTAACATAAAAAAAATAATTAATTTACTTTTTTAATGCATTCAAGAATGTAGAGCACTTACCCAGTGTGCCTAGTAATAATAGTAGCATAAATGTGAGTAAATGAAGTGAAAATGTGTGAGCGAATATAATGTCAGACCCAAATTTTGCTATTACGGGTGTATAACTGTGTAAGCTTGACATTTGGCTAAGAAGTTTTAAGAACAAAGCTTTTGTGCTTTAACATTTTCACTGAACTTAAAAGCGCCTTAAAGCCTATTGAACGTAAACTTCCACGAAAAATATAAATATCATTAGACTGAAATCAATGCAAACAAGCGCTCAATCAAGCATTATTTTCTATTGGTTACAGTTCAAATATATGTTGAAATTTAGTATTTTTATATACAATATATAAACAAATGTTGGCTATATAAACTTTTTCTATCAAACATTTCCTTAATTTGAAGTCATATTTAGGGCATATCCAGAAGACTTAGTTTAAAGTTTAGTTTGTGCTTTGATCCAACAGACAATCAAACAGTTTTTCAATCAATCAATACACATGTATACCCTATAAAATGTATACATTGTGTATAATATATTTAACATTTATAACTAAACTCTTGTAGACCACGATCTTACCTCTATCCAATTTAAGCATTCCCACTCTTTCATCGAGCACAAACAGTTCATTAATCAATTCATTTAAACATTAATCGTGATTATTGTCATTGTTCATCATTCTTTCATTCTTCTTTGCATTCTTTCGTATTTCACATTCTTTCTTCACTGCTTCAACAAATAGTTTTGCATAACATTTCACCTGCTTCTGTTGCTCATCGAGTTTCAGTAACAAAAACTTTTAAATATTTGCATTTAAGATTCCGCAAATTATTTTTATTTGAAACTAACTTGATTTATTTTGTTTTTGTATTTTGTTGTTGATTTTATAAAGCATCGAATGCTTATCGCAGTTGTTTGTTGACTTTATGGTCGGCTTTATTTGCTTCTTTGCTCCATGTACGAAAATATTGATAAAAAATAAATGAAGTCTTTTTTGGATAAGCAAAATATTGCGAATTCCCCAACTGATATATGTGTGCTGCTGTCTCTATCTCACTCACTCTCTGTGTCTTTGTGTCTTGTTGCAAGTGGAGCATTCGGAAGTGGCAATTGTTATGCGATACGCTTCAATGCGCAACATGCCATGTGGCAAGGGACGGGAGCAGCAGCAGAAGGTGGCGGTGATGGGGGCAGAAGCTGAGCAGCTTTGAGTGTTGCGTTGATTTTTCTGCGACACATGTGTGCAACAGCAGCAGCAGCAGCAAAAGCAGCTTTGCCAGCGTCAGTTTAGGCATGCGTGTCCGCTGTCTGGCCCAGCCACGCCCTTATTTCATTATACCTCCCAGGCCCCTCTCCTTTTGCTAGCTTTATTTTTAACATAAATTGCAAAAATATAAAATCAAAATACCTTTGCTATTTGCTTAGCTTAGCTATTTTCAATTGCCATTGCAATTGCGCAATTTTTGTGACCATTTTATGCTTAAACTGGGAAAAAATGAAAATGTTTAATAAATAATTAAATAAGCATGTGAAACGAACTGCAGCTGCTCTGCAAATTTATGACTCTAAACTCTACAGAGCGTGAGCACTAAACAACTCTTTGGCTTATGGCCTGATCTTAAAAACATTCTCAGAGCTTTAAGCTGACAAACAAGTGTTTATATATAATAAAATTCAAGTTCCAGATGTACATATATCTAGAGATAATATAGTTTAGCGGTATATAGTAGTCACAGTAGTTAGAGACTCGACTACTTATAGATCATGAAAGTCTTAAGTTGATATTCAATTATAAAGATTTTTCGCACAGCTCCTGCTATTACTTTTACTACTCTTGTTAGTAGTATTTTTACTCCTGCTACTACTATTATTATTTTTACTACTACTATTACTATTACTCCTACGACTACTAATACTACTACTACTGTTAGTATTACTTCTACTATTACTGCTACTTTTACTTCTATTTCTTACTCTATTACTACTTTTACTACTATTATTACTACCTTTATTACTACTATTTCTATTTTTACTTTTAGTACTACTTGTACTACTATTGCTACTACTTTTACTACTACTATTTTACTTTTACTTTTACTATTACTATTGCTACTACTACAATTACTACTTATACCATTATTCTTAACAATTCTACTACTATTAACGTTACTACTACTATTTCTATTTTTACTACTACTATTAATACTACTTCTACTATTACATACTACTATTTCTACTTTAACTACTACCACTTCTACTACTAGTACTATAACTTTTTCTAGTATTATTTCTACTACTATTACTTTTACTACTTTTCTTATAAACTTTTTACTTCTTGTTGGATTAAAAATGAAATACACATTATGACATTCAAGTCCATAGAACATTAGACAGTAAACATAAAATTTAGCCGACTTAAGCTGACATTTAAGTGCGTATATATATCATAAATTTCTATATAATTGTGTTCAGTAAAATAGTAGTAAGACCCTTCACAAAGCATAAATACAATAAATGCAAATAGTTTTCAAAATTTTGTGTTTATCACTAAATTCAGTTGACCAATATTTAGTGCTTGGTCGCACTACTATTTTTTTGAACACAGCTGCACATAAATATATATTCTATATATTTTTTGAGTAAATATATATACATACTACATGCTATCTTATAGACTATACAAACGACAGTCTGGCATTTTTATGCGTAAGCCATAATTTAAAACTCAATCATCTATATTTCTTGAGAAAATATAGCAGTTGACGTATTGCTCAGTTCTCTATAAAATTGTATTACTAAACTACTTATGTGTATATTACACGATCTTGTGCTCTTTGAACTGACATAGAAATATAAAAAATCAAGCAAGAAAAGGCGCAGCAAATTTCTAAAATATCTAAAAAATTTTTTATATCAAAACAATCAGAGATTTACTTAGAAATTTCTTAAGAAAAGGGTATAGGTTTCTCCTATACACTCAGTCGCTTCTGATTCGCTTTAAAGGTTCTTATTGCTTATTTAAATAAAAGAAATATTTATAGCTTGTTAAGAATTTGCATTGTTTGCAATTAAAGCTTAAGAGTTGTATTGACAAATTGTATTCTCTATCTGTGTATGATTCATTCGGAAATTCGTGACATGCGACGCGCCGCGACGCAACTATAGAAATTTATCATATTTAAAAAATTTTAACACATAATTTTACTTCTTCACTCTCCAACCGCCCATAAATGGTTCGCAAACGTGTGGGCGTGCAGAGAGCAGCGATATTTCCGCAGCTTACATATATATAACATATATGTATATAAATATATATATACATATATATATATATATCTATAATATATTTGTATATAAAGCCCCACTTATATGGCTATATAGCATTTCACAATGCGCTAATTGTTTGTTCAAATTTCGATGTACAGTTGCGGCGGCGACGGCCTAGTTGTGAATAATTGAATTGAGGTGTTAATGAAATCATCTAGATAATTAATGGACAATTAATCTTGATGTGCCTCAATTATGTGAAATGTAATTAAACGAATGTAATTGCATTAAACAAGATTATGGCGAACTTTGTGTTCGCACGCAATGCTCAAATGCATTTATCGATAGTTTAAATGGTGTTTTATAAATCAGCAAGCGATAGTTATCGATATTTTTATTGTTTATGCTTCCAAATTGAAAATTGTGCAGTAATTTTGATAGTTTGTTCAATATATTGACATCCACGACATTGTTATCGAACTATCGATTATAAATCGGTTTCATATATAATGTTTCATTTGTATTTTAGCATATAAATTGTGCTATATTATATGTTACAACGGCTATAGTATATAATTTGTCGATGTTGAACAGTCTTTTACTGAGTTATCGAAGTTTTCATTTTTTTCATATTTGCTATAGCAAGTATTGCCTGCATTAACAATGAAGTGTAAATTGGAAATTTATAATATTATATGGAAACTGATCATATTTCGTTAGAACTATAATATTGCTATCGAACTATCGATTAAGTAAAAGATTGTTTTTTAATGTTAAAGCTCGCCTTCCTTATAGTTATCGACAGTGTTATCGATGTTCTGATTTTATCTATTTTATTCCATCATGTTTCATATCGCATGCTGAATACCTATTGGATCAATTGCAATAGCATACATTCGGTGTCGTTACTATCGAATATCGATAGTTTTCCATCAGCTGCTCCATCGACCCATTTCAAAACGCCTTCTCCATTAAGTTCTTAATTTCTAAGCTTTTATTAATGTTTCTTCTTATCGTCTTCAAACGTGCTAATATATTCATCGATGCCTATTTTGATAACATTTCCGCTAAACTGGGCCATTTTCACAAAGTACGTGGCTACATCTCTAATGAAACTCTTCGTGATCTCCTGCAGCTTCTTATCCGTGAGCAGAGCCTGATACTCCGAATTGCTTAGGCCCGTCTCCTCTTGTTTGTTGAGCAACAGCGGCGTTTTGTTGAACTGCAAAAGGCATATGCCATAAGTTAGGGTATAGAAAGTGAGAGAGGGGGCGGTAGAGAAGAGAGAGAGAACGAACTTACTTCCTCAAAGATGTTCTGCCACATTGTATTCTTTCTGTCGAGATCCTTCTCAGCTATTGCCGCGTTTAATCGTGTCAAATAGAGGGCAATATCTGAAGAGCGCTTCGTACTTGGACTCAGCTTTTCTCTTACTCCGCTAAAGTAGGCGATCTGTGCCCGGAATAGAGCATTCAGCAAATTGATAGTCTCGTTCTGCGCCTCCTGCTCCAGCTGCTTCTGTGTCAGATCATTTGACTGGGGTGGCGCTGGCGCTGCCAGCAGGCACTGCAATTGTTGTCTAGTTGTGTAGAAATTCAATTGGAATCAGAGATCTGTTGACTCACCTGTGCCACCAGCAATATCAATGGCAAACTCTTGTATAGCATTTCGCAGTTGCAACTGAAGCAAACGGTTGTCAAATTGAAACTAAATTGGCATTGGCAATGGGCATGGAAATCAGATGATGAAATGCTGGAGACGACGGCTTATCAGCTCACCAAGGGGCAAGCGAATCTTTATGTCTATGAAAAATAATACAAATCTAAAGCATGGGCCCATAAGTCTGAAAGGCATGCCCAACTAGTAGTTACCCTGGCTGCACAAGAAGTATTTCATAATAGTATAGCTAATTAGGGTAAATTTTAAAGGGTATGTGGACGGATTGTATTTGATTTGCATTTCATAATATTACCATATCTGTTAAATAATGCTTCACTCATCACTTCGCAATTAATTTTAATTATTGCAGGGTATCTCTGAATTAATTAAAATGGATGAAAATAGTATTACTTGCTTATCGTAATATTTGTTTCTATAATTTCTTTATTAATAATTTTTAAAAATATTTCATAATATATAATTACAGGGTATCTCTGAATCACTTTAAATTGATCAAAAATATTCTTTTTTCCCCTAAAAATTATACTATTATCATACAGCTCTTTCATAACAATATATTAGAAAGGTTTCATACGAATTATGTATTATTACAGGGTATTTTTTATTTCAATACCGTTTATAACAACAGTTTATTAGGTTTGATCCTTTTTTCATATATTATGCAAGAATTTTCCATAAAAATAAAAAAACATTTAATTTCATATATATACAATTACAGAGTATCTCCGACTTAAATAAAGTTGATAAAAATATGGTTGTAGTTTTTCTAATATTTATAGATAATATACAGTGAGCATCATAAAAATACCATAAAAATACCTTTAATACTAATAACAGCGTAACATCAAACTCAAATAAAATGTATATCAACATTCTAATTTTATCGATAGTTATTTCAAATTTTCTTCTAACTTCATGAAAATATGTTTCATATTATTAATATAAATTTTTACAGGGTACCTGCAGACTCAAATAAAATTGATAACAAATTTATAATTACTATTTATTGTCGCGTCGCTTTATTTGTGATAATATTTAATTCGAAATATTTATTGAAATAAAAGTTTTTGTTTTGTTCCCCTGAAATTGCGTCGCAGCCACTAGAAAATTATTAACTAATTGAATGTTAAGTTGAGCACGTTTCTCTGATTCTTGTTGTTGCCGTGAGATCTCTCAAGGTTAAGTCACTGCCCTCGCTTGGGTTGTCTCATGGGCCCTAACCGATTGATAAGACGCTGCTCAACAAGTGTGCCAAAAATAGTGCTGAATTGGCTATATTTGAAATAGTGGAACAATGGCAATGGAATAGTTTTTAAGTGAGTTGCCTAAAAGTATGCAATGTTTTTTTCAGGGAAATTTCTTTATCTCATAATGTCCCTTGTTAGAGCTGTTGAGCTGCTGATATCTGATGTTGCTGTTTATAGCTGAGAAATGTGTTTATAAATTATAAAATTATATACTAAATGTAATCTATTGACTTATTTAGTTTTACATTTTGCTGAAATTAATCAAATGATTTGGACATGCTTTAGTTTTTACTAATAAGCATTGCATAATTTTGTGCTGCCCTTTCCATTCCCTTATTTCCCTACAAATGCGGCGTTTATCAATTTATTGCCTACTTTTAGGCAGCTGCTGATAATTATTTATTTACAACTTGTGTTATAGTTGCTATAAATAATTTTTAAGCCATAAATTATGCGTGTGTGAATAATTTAATTACTATAAAACATATTCAATGCAATTAATAATGCTTGTGGAAATGTCACCTGTCAGAAGGGTTTATTATTTGGGCACGGAATTTATTTACTTATAAAAATGAACAATTATTAATTAATTGTAATTGTTTTAAATTTGGGTATATAAATTATGTATTGACATATATAAATAAATTATAATTCATTCAGTATTATGCAATTTCATTCACAAAAAATATATTTTTTTGTTTCTAAATTTAAGTTTTTATTAAAGAATGCATGAAATTTGATCGTTGCCTTTTATGAAACAGTAAAACAAATTTAGCCGCACGCAGAGCTAATCTAAGCGATTAGATTAACGCAGTCGAACAATTGTTTTCGACTTGTCCAGCCCGCTTTATGACTTTGATTAGCTAAACCACAATTAAAAAGTTTTCTTTACATTTCTACAATTTTATTAAGAACTTAGGCACCTGTGATAATGTCAATAATATCCTTGATGGTGCGCTCGCCAATCAGATCGTTGCAAATGGGCGTCACAGTGCTGTCCAGCCAATCGGCGAAAAATTCCGTATTGTCATTGATAGTTAGATTGATGAACTCCTCGATGATTTCGTTGATTTTCTTGTTGAGTATGCGATATTTGGATAGATTCTCAATGTTGGAGACGACATTGCCGGTGACAACGTTCACGTTGATCTCCTTGATGCGCAGGAAGTTGTTGCTGCCGACGATGCCCGTGCTGTACTTGATGTGGCCGGATATGTTCAAATCCTCCAGCGCCATGAAGGCGCCGCCATCGCGAGCCATGCGATAATTGGCACCGACATCCGCTTTGTATTGCGTCGTCACGTTTAAGCTGGCGAAGTTGAACTCGAATTTGAGTCGGCTCAAGATCAGATTCGTGTTCATTACTCTAACTTCGAACTCGTTCAGGCCATGCACAGCCAGCCCATCGACGGCGCCTTTGGCATGCATCGAGCCGGCATCCAAATCGAATTCCTTGTGCTCGATTTCGAATGGAGCGAGCGGAGGAATGCCGTATTGAGGCCAACCCTTGACCATTTGCACCTTCACCTTCTCCAGGGTATCCACAATAATGCTGTCCACAGAGCGCGATTGAGCTGCAAGCGAAAAGGTATGAAAATATCTTCATTTTAGCTACTAAAGAAAATTAATATTTGTATACCCATTGAAAATGTATGGATGGGGTATAAGTATTTTCAGAATACGTAATAACCATAGATGCACAGGACATATAGGATATATATAATCATGATCATGATGATCACAATCAATAGACTTGCAATAATTTCATGAAATTGTTTAATTATCAATAATTGTTTCACTAATGTGGGCATATATCCTTAAGAGTCCTTCATTTGCATAAAATCGATCAATAATTGATATCGAATTATTTATTAGAGGATTCATTCTTATTTTCCCACTTACCAGCAAACTTTTCAGCCACTTCCGCCCCCTGACATGCGGCCAGGGCCAAAATAATTGCCAACAAAGACAGAGACTTCATATTGTTCTTTCTTCAATAACTTTTCACTGCCAACACCTGATTTAAACTGCGCACCTCAACTGACTTGGCGAAAGTTTTTATATAGCATTGATAAAGAACAAGAACTAATTGACGAACATGTGAATATTTGTGTAAATATGTACAAAGTAAATATATAATTTGGAGAGTAGTCTATTGAAAATGAGCTGATATTGCTGAACTACTTAAGATTAGGAATAAGATTAAAGGGATCTATACTTAAAAAGCTTTGAGACCATTTAAAAAAACATTAGAAAACTTATAAGGAAAAGCTTTACAGTAGAAGCACGCTAAGAAGAATTGCTAATATTGGATTACTTATGAAAAACAGAGTTAACAGCAATGCTAATTGCATAGTTAACAGAATCTTCTTGCAGTTGACACAAATTATTCGACCTATTGTAGGCCTCAATTATATGTATGTATGCGGCTGACCAAGCTGCAGACTGGGATTACAGAGCTGACAGAAAGCTTTTCTCGAAAGTGTGACCACTACTGTTGAGGTCAATTATCTACAGTAGCTGTCCGTGCTTGTGCTTTTGATCCCGTTTTATGTACTTGGAGAGCAAATAGTGTGGATACTATGTATGTGTTTGTGTAGGGTGGATATTATGTATTATGTGTGAGTAAGATGGCTGCATGGCAGTGATTGCAGCGGCGGCAGAGAGTATTTATCAATAGAGCGGCCATTATCGTATTGGCCATTAGCGTATTTCGTATCTATTTTTGTATGAGTATATAACAGAGTTGGTAATGTGGATAATAAATGAGTGGGAGCGCAGCGTGCACTTATACACTGACAGGAATCTATTTTCAAGGAGTGGCCATTGCTTTAAAGAGTGTCTGACAGAGCTCAGTTATTCACTTGCGTTCTTTGAGTCTGTTTTATATATTTGTAGAATATGTGAAAGTGGATCTGCTGCATGCTGGGTTTCCAGCGCTGGCAGAAAGTGCGGAAGATAATTGTGTAAATACCAGCGTTTGAACCAAATCTAATGTATTTATGTAGCAGAGAGCGAGTGATTTGGATAGCATGGGCGTGAGTGGGACAGCACCAGTGCAGGGATAAGCGCGCTAGCAAATGGTGTTTACTAACAGATGACAGTGTGGGAGAGATGACATGTGTGTGAGTGAGATGCCTAGCAGCATAGCTATTTTACATCTAGCTGCCATTGTTGTTTTGGCTTTTTATTCCATATGTATGAACATGCAAAGGAAAGTAAGAAGATGTGTGTGAGTAGTACAGCTGTAAGGCAAGGATTACAGTGCTGGCTGAAAGTATTTATACACTGATTTTAAATTGCTGTTATTGTTGCAGAAGATAACTCAAATATATATTTACAATATGGCTCTGTACTCACACATACCAGAATTCCAGATCTTGTAGAACTGGTATATCTCCATTGAAGTGAAAAATGAATGTATTTTTATTCTTTGGTTATAAAGAAACTTTTAATCAAACACGAAGCTTTTCACATTATTTACCAATCCAACTCTGGGGGAATGCAGACCTCCTTCTCACCACCCTCACCATCGCTATTGATGATATCGGTGATGCTCACATCGTCCAAAACGCTGTTCACGGCGGGCAGAGCAACATTCTCAATGGTCTCAGCAATCAGATCCTCGTTCTCATTGATAACCATCTCGACAGCCTCAGCCAGATATTCGTTCATCTTCTCGTTGATGGTGCCATCGCCGAGCATACCCTCAATATCAGATTCAACCTCGCCCAAATGAGTGCGCACATCGAGAGTCTTGAGCTTAAGCTTGCCATTGAGCACGCCCAAGGAGTATTTCATGGAGCCCCAGATGATCATATCCCTAATCATGAATTTGGCATGACCGGCGCCGATCATCTTGATGGTGAAGCCGTACTTCTTCAGCAGCAGCTCCATGTCGTATTTGGTGTCCACATTGACATCGCGGAAGTTGAACTTGAAGTTCACTTTGCTGGTGATTGCATTCACCTTCATCTCCTCGACATCGAAGTCGTTCAAGCCATTCAGACGGAAATGCTCGACGCTGCCCTTCATTTTCAAAGCCTCCGTATCGATATCAATGTTCTTGTGATCGATACGAAGCGGCGCCATTGGCGGAATACCCAGTCCAGGGAAACCGCAAGGCATCTGCTCCTTCAAGTCCTCAATCAAATCGACAACTGTGCTGGAGATTGATTTTGTATCTAAGTGGATATAGAAACAAAATTAGCATATATCTATCTCTCTCTCCCTCTGTGTTTCTCTCGCTCCCTCTCTCTCCCTCTCTACTCACCAATTGCCTCGCCCACAGCAGCGGCATTTGCGCAGGCAACGAGCGCCAACAGAGCCACAAAAAGTTTCATATTTTGTCCTCGTATAATAACTGAACCTAGTGCCAATTGTATTTATACTGATCGTTGGGCTCTACGTTCAGCTGGCTTTTATAGACCCCCGTCTCACTACTTGGGGTCGCTGATAAGGGCTGCCGGAATCGATAATAAATTCGCTTTAGCCATATTGTGGCTTTCTCTTATCTGGCCAGTTAGAAATCAATTTTTAATTAAGAAGCCGTTTGCCTATCTAGTCTAAAGTATGCCACTCGAGCGAAAGGTGAAATGCTCCGAAAGGAGACTCGACTATAAATATGCATAAATAGCTTAAAAATAGTATTTGGAATGCAATTGCTGGACGACGCTCCATGACCAAACCAAATTCATAAATTCTTCATTGTGCAAGGTTTTCTCTCTTTGTTTTGTTTTTTATTTCTGCTGTTCGATATGATTTACAATTATCGTTATATCATCAGGGCTTAAGATGGATTAGCCGAAGGTCTTCAAGTGATTTATAATGTTATTATTCTTGCAATCAACATGTTGAAAAATATTTATTTATAGCTTTCGAGATGCAACGATTAGACCAAAGGCAAAATCGAATATTTCTTGCAAAGTCAGATCTATAGGACTTAGAGAAGAGCTGAAATTCTAGAATATTACTAGAACTTAGCTCAGGAGTAGTTGAGCTTGAGATTCATTAAAAAAGAAAAACTTTTGGATAGTTTCTCTAGATAGATCTACATAGAACCTCTTGAGTTTACAACGTGAAGCTAAATTTCCTTTTTTTCTTTTCGTTTAATCAAAGCAATCTAAAACGTATTAAATTGATTTATTACTTTTACAATCTTCAATTTACTAACAGAATGTCGTAAGCTCGTCTATAGTATTTTGTCTATGAGGCATTCGGACAACACCTGCTAGAGCTATCTAAGAACACCTGCGAAAAAAACAACATCTGACGCAGCAATTAGTCGCATATGAAATTTGACTATATATATAATATATATATATATATATATATAAATATTTGAAAATAAATCATTTGGACACATCGATTGGGCAATTGGATGGGGATCTTGAGATTAGAATACAAGTGTTTTGCACCTTTCTTATAACCTCTATATATAACGATGAGGCGATTACCGTAGCCAGCTCGAGAGCATGATATAAATTAAAATCGAAATTATCAATCTAAAAATAATTTGTGTAAATTGCCTTGCCTAATCTGTGGCTAGATGATTTATATGTGCATGGATTAACGGCGCTTTGGCACTTAGTGTAAGTCGCGGCTATAAAAGCCGTTGGCCTTAGCCATTTACGAATCAGCTAACAAAGCCAAACAATGAAGTTAAATGTATTTTGTTTCGTTACCCTTTTGGCCTGTGCTGCGGCCTACGAGGTGGACCTCTTGACCCCAGAGCAATTTAATCGACTTATCGAACGTAATCGTAAGTTCTATTCGATTCTTGAGTTTTACAATTGATTGATCTGTATCTCCGCACCTGCCCTGGGCTAGCCGTCAAGCCAGATGAGTATGGCCTGATATTGAACTCTCAGGCTAAGAAGGCCATGAAGAATTTGATGGAAAGTCTGCCCTGTGGCTTTCCGGAATATGGAGTTCCTCCCCTGGCGCCCTACACCAACGCTGACCTCAATATTCATTTGGCTCAATCGGTTGTTGAGTGAGTCCTCAAACGTTTCAGACTTCTAGGACTTCACTTGATTTGCTTCTTTGTTGCATCAGTTCGCTGGTCCAGTTTCTGCGCTTCCGTTTCGATGGGCTGGAGACGATGGAGGTCAAGAAGCTAAAGGTCAGCTACACTTTCAACAAGAAGGTTCAGTTCCATTTCAAGTTCAAGGAGCTGAAGGCTAGCGCTCACTACCTGAACACCGATACCTTGATTGATCTGCTCCAGGAGTTGGGTCTCTCGGTGCGCTACGAAGGCTCCGGACCGCTTGCCTTTACCCTGGAGGATCTGTCGATTCAGGGCTCATTCAAGTACAAGATGCCCTTCATCTTTGGCTCGATTAAGATTTATAAATTCGAGTGTGTCGTTGGCCTGGGCGGTGTCTCCTCTCACCTTGGCGGCATTCTGGGCAATGGACGTTTCAATGAGATGATCAACGAGATTGTGGAATATCAGGTGCCCGCCTTTGTCAACGGCCATCAGCAGGAGATCAGCGATCGCATTGAACAATTCATTGTGCCCTTGGTCAATGAACGCCTGAAGGGTCATAAGGTTTGGTTCCTGCTGAAGCAGCTGACCAATTCCACCAAGAAGTGCCATCCCACGCCAGCTCCCTGGCTGGCCGTCCAGTGAACGCACCACACAGCAAGCCCACCAATAAATCAGATGTAGCCTTTCAACGATTTGCGTTTTAATTAGCTGCGGGGTAGCTCTCCATAGATTATGGCTATCTAGCTGGCATTATCTTAGCGTGAAAGCCTTATCGTTCGTTCGTGTGGCTATAAAAGCTGCCTTCGGCATTGGCTGGCCAATCAGTTGCAGGTTGAGTTTCACTGAAAGACATTCGACATGCGTTTTCTAATTGTTTTGGCCGGTCTGGTCGCCATTTGTGCTGCGGGCACATTGCCCAAAGAACAGTCCCAACATCCGCTCGAGCAGCGCTTGCTGCAGCTCGCCGATCAGAACGGCGATATCGAGCTTTTCGCTGAGCAGCCCGAAACAGGTGTTGAAGGTGAGCGTGGAGCGTTGACTAATTGAAGCTAGAATGTTGCCTAATTGACGTTTTCAATCCTAAATAGTTGCTCCACACTTTGTGATCTCGTGGCAGGTGCGTCGCATGATTCGTAAGCTGCAAAAGCAAATGCCCTGCGGCTGGCCCAGTTTGGGTATTCCCCCATTGGCGCCGGTGCGTGTGAACGAAGCGAACTTGAATTTGAAGCGCGGCATCGTGGACACGATCAATCATGTCTTCCATCTGAAGATCGCCGGCCTGGACGACTTCAAGATCATGAAGTTCAAGCTGAATGTGATCTCATCGAAGATCACCTTCGATTTCCTGTTCAAGAACATTGACACAACCGCGCAAAAGTACGAGACCGATACGCTGATCGATGCCCTGCGTCAGTTGGGCCTGTCCGTGGAGTACGAGGGCGATGGCTCCATTCTGTTCGATCTGATCAATTTGCGTGTCAGCGGCATCTTGACTTACAAGCTGCCCATGCTGTGGGGCTCAGCCAAGATACTGTCCCTGAAGTCCAACATTGAGCTGGGCGCCGTCGACTCCGATATTCGCGGCTTCATGGGCAATGGCAAGATCAATGCCATCATCAATCGCCAGCTGGAGAATCTGCTCGTGAAGGCCATCAACAACAATCAGGAAGCCATTTCCGATACCATTGAGGAGACGATTGTGCCACGTGTCAATAAGATGCTCAAGGGCTACGACTTCTGGACCTTGGTCGATTTGATTCTCTCCAGCAGCGATGGCGAGAACGAGGACGATCCCATTGTTGTTGACTGCGTGCCACCAGCAGATCCCTGGGCCTAAACCACAAATGACATTCTAGCTTGGGCAAATTAGAGTTTGCTGCAATAAAGCTTTTAGATTGGTTTCGATACATTTTATGAGTTTGTTTTTTTTAAGCTGAGCTTGTGAAGAGATGGAAGTTTAGGGATAGAGCGAAGGGTTGGATTTTGTTTCTGCGATTTCTTTTGCTGGCTATTTAAGTTATTTATAACATTTTGTTGTTGCAGTGCTCTATAACATTTGACATTTGTTTTAAGACTTTGCAATTGAATGTAAGGAAATTCGTAGTCGGCGAATATCGTTGTTTATCGAGCACAAATTGTGGCACAGCTGATGTCCGTTGCATGCCAATTTTAGAGGCAGAGAGGCGGATGGCTATGAAGTAAAGAAAATTCGGAAGATTCCCAAGCCTAAAGCAGTTCCAGCTAAACTGAGATGGTCTTCAGTGAGATGTGTTATTATGAACAAAAATATCTCAGTCAACTTCATCTTGTAAGCTGCCATAGATTGCTAATCAAATCAATTAATTAGCTTGGCCAACTCATGTCTTGCTTTGCCTAGCATAACAGAGTATTTCCAGTAACATCTATGGCATCTACGCTATCACCTTTAGCTACCTTCAGTTTAGTCCCCATGAAACCTTGGCCTACTTTTAGGCAGCCTCCCGCTTGTGCTATCAACACAGTTAACACCTGTACAGTTCGTCCAATCTAATCGGCAATTGAGTGCTTAATCTTAGTGTGATTTTAACACCTGGTCGCAGCTACTGTTACGCCGTTTAGTTAACCTAAAGATTTCGAAATGCGCTGCTGGTTTTTGGTGCTAATTGCCTTGCTCGGCTGCTCCTTGAGCGTCTCGGGCCGCACGCTCTTCGATGATGAGCTGCGTGAGTTCACGGAGTTTCTGCGCTTGCAAATGCATTGCGGCTATCCGGTCAAGGGCATACCCATCCTGGCGCCCGCTCAGTTGGCCTACAAAGAGCTAGACATTCAAGCGGATTCGTTTAGGTAAGCTCACGCTTCACACTTAGGCAGCAGCTACAGTTTCCCTCGTTCCCCCTTGCAGCGGTCGTGGCAACATTACCAAACTGTCCATTGTGGGCCTGGACGGCTTTGAGTTCTTTCAGCTGCAGTGGAATAATATTTTCCATACCATCAAATTCGATGTTAACTTTCCCAGCATTCACTTGAAGTCTGAGAACTTTAAGTTCGATCTCAGTCGCTTCCTGGGCGCAACTGTCTCAACGCAGTGCGACGGTGTCTTGGATGTGGAACTGCTTGACTTGCGGGCCAATGGCAGCTTTGTGCTGCGTCCCTCGGGTCTAGCCAATGGCGTTCATGTCATGCGCTGGAACATCGATTGGCAGCTGGGCAAAGCCGTTTCCCAGATTACGGGCATTGGTGGCAACAAACATGTGGAAAAGGTTATCAATTTCATAATTCAAGACTTTCTACAGCTGCTCGTCAATGACAATCCCGAAGAGATCTCACAGTTTATGGAACAACTAATTGTGCCGCCACTGAATGAGGTGCTGGAGAATGTGGCCTGGTATGAAATAACTGCAATTATATTGGGCTTGGTCAAGGACGTCTTGCCCGTGGAGCCCATTTGCTGAAGCGCCAGCTGCACCATGATTAAGCTTGAATAAAGTGCTTAAAATGTTCTATTGGGTGGCCTTATGAAGAAGGGAGAGGGAGTGGAGAGGGAGTGGAGAGGGAGGGGAGAGGGAGTGGAGAGGGAGTGGAGATGGATTAGAGCGTGATATTTTCATATCAATGAAAAAGTAAAGATTTATTGTATATGATCTTGTGCAGTTTGGAGAGTTGGAAAAAGAAGGCCGCTTCTACAGTTTTCCAGCCAGGACATCAGCTATAGGTAGAGCTATAAAGCAAGTGATCGATCGGCTGGATAGATCGACAAATATCGATAAGTGAATAAATATTATTGTCAATGAAAAAATTAATTCTTTCATGCAAATGTATGGAAAAGACTCAAGCATGTCAAGCCTGATCACAAAAAATATATATATTCTTGATCTAGTAGACCTACAATGATTTAATCTTCTGCCCATAAAAGAGCATTAAAGAGCATAATTCTTTAAGTTGTCTGATGTCTCACTCAGTTGCCTTAGCCATGAATCAGTTTGCTTTTATTTATCTCTTTTCTATATGCGCTAATCACACACATTTAACTCTATATATTTGCAGGTAAGCGCGATTAGATTTGTATTAAAAATAAATATAAACATATATATATATATATATGATAAAGGTAAGCAAAGCAATAGAGTTATCAATTTCTGGCACAAGCTTACAAATCGCTCTAATCGTTGCAACCATAAATTATGGCCTTAATACGAGGTTCGTCTAGGCAGCAAATGGGAAAAATGAAAATCCATAATCGGATTTGGCGAGAGTCGCCAGCGGGACATCTCTATTCGTAGCTGGTCGGGCGAGGCTGCTGCCACGCAGCAGGACCAGGCGACGGGTGGTCCTCGTCTGGTTCAACACTTCCACAGGCTCGAAATGTGCTCGAAACACCCGTTCGAAATTGCAGCAGATGTTTTTTGGTTTTGGATTGTTTTTTTTTTATTATTTTTGACTATCTATTTTTTCACTATAATTATTTGTTGTTAATTAGTGGGGAGTAGGGGAGAGTCTACTTTATACTCACTTAGCTGCGATTTCTTTGGCATTCGTTGTGGCTCATTTGATTTGCAATTTATGAGTCTTTTTGGCGGCGCACACCTTGCGCACGTCAAGGAGCTGGCCGCACTCACACACACACACACACACAAGATGTCCTTTCATGAGTACGTGCTCTTCATTCAGCCGTCCAGCAGCGTTTGCATTGTCCGCAAACGCAGTTTTATGACCTAAGGAACAGCCTGCGCTTTGTGTTCATTGTCTCTGAGATTGCGATTGTGTCCTTGTTCCCATTCAGTGCATGGCTGCCTTGAACATTTGCACTACTTGGGCCAGCCAAGTTTCGTTTTATTTTTTTCTAGTTTATGTCCATTTGTTGACATTTACGATGCAATTTTCGCAAAGCCCTTAAATCATGACTCGCCGGTCAATACTTTCCTCTTGTACTTCGACCCTCTTGCAGTGCCTCGAGTGCCAATTCAGCTTGGCCCAGTTTGATTAGCCTCAATTTTAGCCACAAATCGTTTACGTATGCTGCACAGATTTACATGTGCTCAGAGCCAATATCCATACTAACTAGAGCAGCCTTGTGGCATAGACTTGGCTATTAGCTGCTGGGATTATAAGTTTTTAGCTACATATTATATATTAAATATTATATATTATAAATTAAAATATATATATATTAATTTAGGAGTATTGTGAAATTATAAAAAAACTTATTTTTGTATATAAATATTTTTTTTATGCCGCTGAATATATTTCTATAGCTCTTTTAGCTTTTAATATATGAGTGCAGATAGACAGCGCTTTCTCTTATTAACTTATATATATATATATATATATATATATATATATATATATATATATATATATATATATATATATGAGGAGTAGTTGCTGTATGTAAATTTTCAAATTGTTAGGCATTGGCGGCATCAAATAGCTCCACGAACTAACTGAATTTTCACAAGTATATATATATATATATATATATATATATATATATATATATATATATATATATATATATATATACTTGTGAAAATTCAGTTAGTTCGTGGAGCTATTTGATGCCGCCAATGCCTAACAATTTGAAAATTTACATACAGCAACTACTCCTCAACTCAATCTAAATCATAATTTTGACAAAGAACAAATGAAAAATATTGTAAAATTTAATATAAAATTAGCAAGCTCTTCGTCTGTGGCTTCGATGTCAGCCTCTATTCCCCTATTCCCGTTTAGCTGCTAGCGATTAAAAAGATGCAATTATTAAATTATATCTTGTAGAGCTTAAGAGCTAAAGTCTCAAATTTTTGCATTTAGCTTATACAAACACCAAGGCTTTAGTAGAAACTGCTAAAAAGTTAGATGAATGTGGAATGTTAAGGTTTTTAATGAATACATAACATAGAGTCAGACCCATCCGTATCAATACTTGTGTATTCTCGCAGCTATCTTTAAACTTAGCCAGAGTCTCTTGAGCAGACTAGAAAGTCATCCATCATCCATCAAATTATTATTTAAAATTATTATAGCAAATAAGCAGATTAGAAAATCATCAAATGAACTTAAATGTTTCCACTACGCCTCTCCTTTTTATCTTTTATTTTAACTGTTGATTGCTCGCAGTTGTTAGCAGTTATCCATCTCCCAATTAGACAATAAATTTCGCTTGTTGCCATCAATCAATGCAGGCAATTTAGAATCTAGAATCAGAATTGAAACATTCTACTTTAAGTAGTATCTTTTTCTTCATTTAAAGTACAGAACGAGTGATATTTAGCTTATTTTCTAGTAGCTACAAAACTACTCTTAATGCCATCCCTACGCTTTCCCTTAACAAAAACATTCCACAAATTGCCTTTGCACACACAACAAACCACATTTTACCCTTGCTTTTAGTTATTTCTTATTCAACCGACTTTCCTTTGCCTGCTCGCAAAACCTCTTAAGCGCAGCTTTAATTGCCTCTGCTTGCTGCTGGCTTCTCAAGACTTTTAAATTACTTCTTAATACCAAAGCCGAGCAAAGGCTTGCAGTTAATTGAAAAGTTTATGCGGCTGCCTTTTGGCCTACAGTTGGCAAGTCGCAAATATTTGCATGCTCCTGCGCTACTTGAAGGCAACTACTACAGAATAAGGCCCATATGAGCAGGAGGCTATCAAAGAAGGGGTTGCGTATGGCATTTGAGAATTTATGACAGGCGGCACTTGAGCGCGGAATTGTTAAGCACAGAAATTAAGATTCATTAACGGAGACTGGAGAGCGAGAGGGCGTGTGTGTGACAGAGACAGCGGCGTAGATAACCCTTGCTGGAACAATGCCGTCTGCTGCACATAAATCAAAAGTTTTTTGGCAAAAAGTCCCGATACGCAGATAAGCGGCCATCGAGGGCATGTTGCCTAGACTGCTAGAGTTTCCCTTTCGGCTCCAGTCGGTGCTTGTTTGCTTAAAGAGGTTCGTTCTTCTTACTCTGCTGTTATCCTTGCTGCGCATTAAATGAGTTTTAATTTGAAACGTAGTTGCGACTCGGCTTCAGCAGCAGAAGCTAGCATTAGACCGTGCTCTAGCAAAGTTAGCTCTAGAGTAGCTGCTGGCTGGAGCCACCCTTTGACTTTTCATCTTTTTATTCTTTGTAATTGAGCAACGCAATTTACGCAAAGTCGCGTTCTATAGGTGCGCTGTCCTGTAAATGAACAACAGCAGCCAAGGATGCTGAAGGCTGCAGAAGGTTGCTGAAGGTTGCTGTTTCTGTTCTGTTCTCTTTTTTTCAATTAAGGTTGACATGTGTCTGCGTTGCTCTCACAGAAAAAAATTGGTTGCCTTGCGACAAGTCAAGCTGAAAATTGCGCATTTGCGCCCAGCGTTAGGGAAAATTGATATCAGAGAAATCGGTTTTATTTTTTTTTTGAGGGGGTTGCAAGAGTTTCGCCTAACACGATTACCAGACACTTGCATCTTACAAATAGACGAGCATCGCTCTATGCAGCTATGTCTTCGCTTCTTGCCAGACAGCTGGCCTGCTTTGATTTGGGGCGGGGCATATCAATCAATTTGATGCTCTGCTGCATGTTTTAATTAAAAAAATTCCCCCAACTCAAGCAACTGTTAAACAATTTTCAATTGAGACTTTTTTAGGTGGCTTAATTGAATGAAAATACGAAAATCTATAGGAATTTAAGGCAAAAACTTGTGAGAAGTTGCAGTTGCTTTAAGTTTTCATTATAGGAATAATATTTTTTATATTATATAAAGCAATAATATAATGTAATATAAAATAATAATATATTGTAATATAATGCAACATAATATATGATATAATATAATATTTGATATAATAAAATTTAATATAATATGATATAATATAATTTATAATAATATAAAATAAGCTAAAATAATATAATTTAAAATAAAATAATAGAATAGAAATTTAATTAATTATATTTATTTAAATATTTTGATTTCTTCAATTCGCATTTTAAATAAAGTTGAAAATTCCGGGAGTGAAATTAAATTAAAAATTAAATTTTGTAGTTGCATAACACAAATAAAGTAATTAAATAGAGAAATTAAATTAAATTAATAAAATTTACTCAACAAGAAATATATATAAAATACGAGCCGAATTTGAAACTAAATTGTTGATGTGTTTCAATCCAATTCATTTTATAGAAGAGTTCATATAATATCAAAGTAAAGTTCAGTCTTATAAAATCCAAAGCACGAATCTAGAAACATTTTTAAAATAAATAATATTCAATAAATAATAATTCAAATTTGATTTATTGAATTTTTTACCAGAGATGGAGATGGACGTTAGAAGAGGTCAATAGATAAAAATAGACGAGATATGGATATAGAGAGAGATAGAGATATACAAGAGATGGAGATAGATAGCGAGACAATAAAGATGGAGAGAGACGATAGATAGAGATAGACAGGAGATGGAGGTAGATGATTGATAGAGATAGCCAAGAGATGGAGAGATATATTAGATAG